AGCACCAGGGTTACCTACAAGCACGAAAGTGTCTTCCATGATTCTTGACAAAACGGCTGCCAAGATGATGGACCTACATTTATCAGCATCGCTACGAGATCCCATTTTTGATCCAAGGGTAATGAGCGTTATTTTCCACATAGATGGACTTAAAAAGAATAATGGAATTTCCCTACTACCGTATTTCACGAATGATGCAGGTTTCTTCAGTCTTCAGTAATAAGGATGGTAGGTTGGTAAGCCTGTGTTAATCCTGAGAGACTACCTTCCAGTGAAGGTCCAGCTTCTTGAAAATATACCACTTGTTCGGGTAAGGCGTTCCAGTCATTGACTACTCGATGAAAAAAACGAGACCCCACTTTAAGTTTATTAGATCGTTGTCTGTGAACCTTATTGCTATGACCTCGGAGATCATTAGTGCTGAAGGGAGCAAAAAGATAAGATATATTAACACCCAAATCATAACTAAAGATACGAAATGCCAGTATAAGGTCACCTCGCATTCTACGATACGACAAGGGGAAAGATTTGGGCATTGTAAACGCTCATCGTAAGGGAGTTTAGAAACACTCTTCACTAGTTTCGTTCCCACACACTGGATACGCTTAAGTGAGTTAGTATCCTTTACCAGACATGGGCTAGCTGCTTCGATACAGTACTCTAAGTGTGGTATTACATAGGTGGGATATAAAATTCGAAACATTTCCTCGTCAAAGCGTTTTAATGCTCGGAGAAGTGACCATAACGCACGAAAACCTTTGACAGCATCTGCGTTGCAATGCGTAGTTGTTTTCAACTCATGACTTATTGTTACTCTTAAGTCTTTAAGTTATTGAACGCGTGGAAGAGATGTACCATCAATAGTATAGTGGTGACTCTTACCGTGACCGATGTGCATGAGCACACTTCCTAGAATTCTAAGCCCCAACCTCGAGCCCATTTAAATGTTGAAGAGCGTCGCGAGCGGTCTTGAAATAATGTCCGCAAGAGATGACAGCAGTAGTGGATGTAACCCATCAGGGCCCGGTATCTCACAAGGTTTGAGGTTAGTTATCAATGGAAGAGCAGTTTCCTCAGTCACCTGTACAGATTCACTGGCTGGTATCTCGGTGTGATTGGGACGAGTATTTTTAACAATACACGTAGAGTATACTTTGCTAAAATAGTTTGAAAAAGTCTCAGCTTTTGCCCGATCTGATTCAGCTAGTAAATCTGAATTTTCGTGTAACAGTAGTGGGGGAATACCATCACTACATTATATTCGCCGTTTAACATAAGAAAACGGTGGTTTCGGACAAGTACGACTATCATATGCCAACTGTCGTTCGTAAGTAGTACGGGATTTAGCTATGGTCTTTTTATAGATATTCCGAACTTCCTGATATTCACACTTAAATGATGCGTGTCCTGTTGACAAGAACAAGTCCCAGAAGTGTTTCCTACGCTTCAACAGCTTCCGGGTTTCCTTAATAATCCATGGTGGGCAATGTGTTAGCTTACGTGTTGACCATGAGATAAACGGTGATGTAACGGACTCGAATGTAACCATAAACTTATTCCCTTCGTCTTCGATCCATCCATCCACGTCAACCGACCAATCAGTTGAGATAGCACAGTCCTTGATTGCCGGAATATTAGCTCGCCAGATATCGGGGCGGGGTGGAGCAGATACAAATTGTATGCCATGTGTCCTAAACTTGAAGTACAGTACAACGTGATTACTATTCACTAGTGAGGGGAAGGTGCTGAACGTCGATGACATCCCCACAATGGTGTGTGAGGACAAGGTCCAGCAATGACGGGTCATGTTCCGAGTCAATAAGTGTCGGTTTTTCGATACATTGTACAAGTGCACACTGAATAATGGTTGATAGAAGGTCGCTATAGATACCTTGAACCGGGTGACATAAGAAAATTGCAGGTTGACATGAAAATACAAGTCAAAATCTCGAGAAAACTTCCTTCTCATGAAGGATGCGTTATTATGGAACAGGCTTCCCTCTGAAATACGCATGGCAGATGAATTACATACGTTTGTAAGACTTCTTGATCAAGTCTTCATTTGCACTGATCTAACGCGAGCGAATATATCTGCGTTCCACTCAGACATTATAGGCTCTCTGTATGCATAGACCAAACTAGACTCTAACTTCAGCTTATTTTCTTACTTTACAGCAGTATTAGATACTTTTCCCTTTTTAATTTTTTACTTGAAGTAGACAGGTAAGTCACTGGACCTATCGATGCTGCTCAACTACAGTCGGTCGCTAACGGACGCTCACTTCTACCCCAAAAAATCAAGAGAACCGCATAATCAACCGCTCAGTGTCAGTGGTCTTGCAACTATGCAGCCTATAACCCATTAACCTGTTAGGACAGCACAAAATAACATCAGCATCAAGTAAATGTAATTTCCTTCTTCCCTATTCTTTATCAGGTTTCTACTCTCATGTACACTATGTTGACTTGCCATTTATTTTATTTCACCACACGTTACCTTATGCCTCCCATCACTTAAAACTAATCCACAATGTTAAATATACTGTATTCTCTCGTCTGGAGCCTCTGATCACACTTCACTTTAGCAACAAGAGCTAGTACGAATTTAATCTAATAATTTATCATACCTCTGTATGTTCCACTACAAAATGTTAAGCATTGTTTAGCGTTCATATCCAAGTGCCTTGCTGCTCCTTTGTTAATCGTTTTTGCAGGATCTTGGTCGGAGGACACAACTATGGAACTTCTGACCTCCGGAACAAACTTGACATACGCGTTCTCCCAAGGTCATGTTTCACACCAGACGCTCCACAAATCTACTTTATAATAACTGTAAACCTGAAAAGTTATATTACATAAGTGCTTAGCGCGACCAGAATTCTAACATAATTATGCCGAGATTGGATCTGATGTGTAACGTGGACGCGATGACACTTTGGAAAATATTTCAAAGACTGTACTCAGTGTAATACTAAAGCATAAACCCAGTCATTAACGCTCCAAGACATCTGTGCGAATGTACTGTTATTCACTTTTATTGATTTTATCTATTTAACTACCCTGCTTGGGAAGCATATTGTGAGCCAACATATGCTGTAATTTGTAGACCATACCTGTAAAAATGGCATGTACCTGTGCTGATAAAAATATATTATTATTACATATTTCTTGTCAATAAGCTCAAACGACTAGGTATTGAATCACCTTTGATTGACTGGTTTGTTTCATGTCTAAAATATCGAGCAAACCTTGCACTGGTAAAATTGAAACGCATTTTGGACCAGTTTGACGGAAGAACTTTCCACATGATCTTCAACAGTTTCATTTGTCCCCATTTAGAGTACGGAGTCATAGTATTTCCTCACTCATCCCAAAAAGATAAGGACACTCTGGAACCTACCCAACGGCGAGCAGTGAAATCAGTTCGAGGACTCAAATGTGAGCCTTCTGAAGAGCGCCTCCAATCACTAAATCTTTACACATTAGTGTACGGGCTTCTTAGAGGTGACCTAATCACTTATATCATATTGAAAACTTCTGAACATCCCTTCAAATACCTGTTTAGGTTCAACTTTCAGTATCCCGGTTTATGACTCCAGTTCGATTGTTTATGATTGCTATTGAGATACACATATTGTCATTCCTCGTATATATTTATCGACTTAAATCTCGTTGGTCAACAACGGCGTTAAATAAGTCAAATTTGAGAATGAATTTAGAATGCGTATATTTCATACAATCGTTGATCTAGATAAAATATCGGAGAAGCAAAGCGAAGAGAACGAAGCGGAATGATGAGCAATGGCGAAGGCATATGAACCAACTCAATTTAAACAAGCATTAATCAATATTTATAGTCACATAAAAATAAGCTACGGACATGGTATGAATAGAATGAAAAGGGCACACACACACGCTCATATGAAAACAGTCAAGAGTGATAAGCGAATAATTAAGAAAATCAAAATGTGACTCAAGTAGACTGAATAGATTGGCCTGTCCGAAAGCTAGAGTAAGGTGTATGGTCTTAACATAATAACCAACACTAAAAGCTCCAACACAAACGTAAGGGGTAATACGCGACAACTGGAGACACAGCTCAGCAGAACGGACTGTAGACACAACATCTACTCCCTAAGAGTGGTCAAATGCTGGAAATCACTGCCGGCTGAGCTAGTCCAAGTGAATTCTCAGGAGTCCGTTAAGAGAAAACTTGACATATTATTAGAGACTGAGGATAGTATTGTAGCGGTAAATAAATCTACAAAATAAATAGCTCTGTATGTTTTCGATATTGGATGGACTCACCTAGCTGAAGGCGTTCAGTCATGCATCCGCACCAGATCACGAGTGGGAACGCCGTGCTCAACAACCCCTGCAATCACTAGCCAGATTAGATCAGACAATTCTCGATATATTGATAGCATATAAAATATATCTTCGATCTTCCCCGCTTCTGTCTTTTGATTTCACGTGGTGGGAACGACTCATATTAGGTGTTACTGGTTAAAGCGTTGTCATTTTCAGTATCTTGGTCTGATTTACCAATTTCTTTTTCCTCTTTTGTCAATATTATACTTGGGCTCCTTCCCGAAGGTATTGGTGATCCACTGCCACTAGACACGGAAGCCTGTTAAGTGAAAGCTTTTTCTATTCCGTCCAAAATTATTTGATCCACTTTATTTTATCCTCCAATTACAAGAGGAATGTTATAAAAACCTTGCCTTTCTATTGTGAAAAACACCCTTCTACCACTGAAATGCGAATCAAAAGGCCAAACGACCCTTAGTCCTACCAAGCATAAAGCGTGAAGTTTGAGGACTAGCAGTCATTTAGCTTTCATTTCCTAAGACCGCAGCCCGAATTGTAAATTTGATATACTACAAGTGAGGCCTGCGTGATAATACTCAAGGTTCTTATGTTCGAAAAAGCTGGTATATTGATTAACATGATGAGGAACGCGCAAAAAGCATTATGTACCGCCTACTTTGTTTTAGTGGGCAGTTGAACTATCAACTTGCTATTTCAAAAAACAGCCATTAGTATTTTTCGTGGTTTTGTGTATTGTTTCATTTTAAAGTGCTTACATTTGCAAGTATCAGAGTGATGGATGCACCGGATATATGTTGAAATTTATGTTCTGCATTATAGAATACATAAATGTGACCGGAGGTACGTCAACGCAACATATGAACTGCCGTTTGTATATTGTATTTGTGGTTTTGAATATTGCATGTATTAGATGGTACATAGAACCTTAAAATTCAGTTGAATTTTTACGAATTAGGTTTTCTTATTTTCTTTCCAACTTAGTAATCGCCTTAGTACTATTTTAACAGTCGTGGTTTGGGACATTATGAAATGGTGTGACCTGCATACTCATCCTTATTTGTAACACTTTACGTCAGAATTCTAGTCACATTAGTGTTTGAAAGTTATCAAAGTATGCTTCAATATACCCAATCCCCGATTTGTTAACGCCAGTCTTGTCGTTTCTTCAATTTCTTCCCTAATAAGTTTCAAATAGGTGTTGCTTAACAAATAAATCCAGTGAGCCTTCAGATAGCATAGTCGATTCCTAGCGTAGGTAACTTTGTGAGTCGTACATTGGAAGCAACTTCGTAGCGGGTAGACTTAAGTGTACGTCAGTTAACGTTACTTTACTGTTGGAGCAGTAAGGGGAAATTTAAGGAGGATTAGGATGAAAACCACAGGAGTAAAAATATTGCTAACACATGCCCCAAGTTTGGTACAGACATAGTTTTACTACAGTCTGACATCTGGTTCTGTCTGCCCCCGTCCTCATTACCGTTCTAGACATTATTATTTGTTATTTGAGCACAAACTTTGGTACAAAGGGACACCAAAAAATATATACGCTTCACAACAGTGAGTTGGCGAAGAGACAAAAAATGTAAAGTGCGCATAATAAAAAGGATCAACAATGGACAGAAATTAGTTTATGAGTGAAATAATAATATGATAGTTCAGTTAGTAAAAGATACAATCAAAGAATTCCTTCGGTTAAAAAAGCTACGTCCACTATTATGAAGAAAGTAAAAGGAAGCTACATCGGGATCGCCGCTGACCTCTATTCTGAACCATGTCTGATGACGTCTCTATTCGAAGTGTTGTACCATCTTTAGGATCCCAGTCAGGGAATCATAAAGGACCAACAGAAGCCAGTCCTGTACAGCTTTCATACCACGACACGGTGTCATGTACTGACCATTCAGATATTGGTACAAGGAGGCACCAAATACATATGTGCCACACAAATCTCATTCGATATGTGTGAGGGCTGTGATACTGCCCGGGTGCCCAAACCGAAGCAGGTGGTTTTCTTAGGGAGCCACTCCCACAGCCTTCGATCTGATCCACAAGGCAGTGGAGCATCGTAAAGAGATGCAGTCCCATGGAAGCCGGTGACCAACAATTGGTCCACACGCCATTTGTTCCCGCAGGATACTGCAGCCCATGTGCACCATTGGTTTGGAATCCGGTTAAGACGCCGGACATTCTCTTTTCGTTCTCTCATTTTCGTAAACAACAGTAGTGCCACGAGAGGGCGGTGAGTAGGACTTCCCTGTCAGAGGCTATATACGCGTGGCCATATGAGAGCATTTCGAGAGAGAGTGTACTCTCCCCACTCTCGGCCGTACCAGAGCATTTGGAGGCTGACCACTCACTGTCTTCTCGTGGTGGGGGTTTGTTTACGAAAATGAAAGGACGAGAAGCGAATGTCCGGCGCTTTAACCGGGTTGGTAGATACGGATGATCCACCTAGGGGAGTTGGAAAATCCTGATTCCAAACCAATGGTGCACATGGGCTGCAGTACATTGAGGGGACAAATGGCGTATGAACCAATTGTTGGTCACCGGCTTCCATGGGACTGCATCTCTTTACGATGGTCCATTGCCTTGTGGATCAGATCGAAGGCTGTGGGAGTGGCCCCCTAAGAAAACCACCTGCTTCGGTTTGGGCACCCGGGCAGTATCACAGCCCTCACACATATCGAATGGGATTTGTGTGGCACATATGTATTTGGTGCCTCCTTGTACCAGTATTTATATGTTCAAATAAATAAAATAAACCGCCACCAGTATTTACTCAGTTACCAAGATACACGGATTCGACTACTACCGGGTTCTGCCGGTCTTGCAGAAGTACTTTGCACTTGGAAAGTGCAAAGCACATGCAGTACTTACAGAAACTGATTGCCACCTAAGCGCGGATTGCATGACTTGGGTATCATCGCATAGTAAGACAATATTATCTTCATACTCAAGGTCGAAAGGTCTTTCTCCAGGCAACAGATCCACGCCATTACATACATCTATCAGAGCTTTTTTCAGAACGTCATCGATGGCCAAGTTCAAAAGGAATGAAGAGGTTGGGCGACCCTGCCTAAGCCCTTGGTTGGAATAACGGAGAGAGGTGGTTGTCTGCTCTCACTTTACACGAAGTGTTAGTATGTAGGTATATATAGTCGTAAACATACGTTTCATTTTTCTTTATTTGTGTATTAGGCAAATAATTTATTACATTATGGTTTGGAAGCCCACCAAACCAAGTAAAACAGCAACAGAAAAGAATAGTAGAATGAGGTCAAACAACCAATAAATGGACGAGTAAAAATAGTCTAATGAGATTTTCAGTCCAAATAAACAAGCAGTCAAGATGGATTTCTTTGAGTTGAGAAGTTTAATCTTATATGACAGCTATAGTCGCAAGCTACCGTTGGGTTGTCACTGACTTGAACTCTAAGACATGTCTGGTAACATCTCGAGCCACTGAGTTGCATGATCTATAGGATTCCAACGATGGGGCTGTGATGAGGCGGCAAGTGATAGTTTCACGTGGTCATCATTCCACGATGTCATGTCATAAACCGACCATTACACTTTTTTACACCGTCGACAAATGTGTGAAAATTGCTAAAATAACATTCACAAAACTTCTAACGGTCGAAGCCGGTTGTTTATTTATTTGTGTAAACAAAAACATTGGTACAAGGAAACCATATATATATATATATATATATATATATATATATATATATATATATATATATATATATATATATATACATATATATATATATATATATATACGCCACATCAAGTGATTTGTGTGAGGGCTGGGACACTGCCCGCGCACCAAAACCGAAGTAGGTGGTTTTTTTAAGGGGTCACTCCCCGAGTCTTTGACCTAGATTTGGTCGGTACAGGACCGACCCTTACGGAATCCAGATAGTTGGTTTCTCAGTTGGGCGTCCACAAAGTCCCTCATTTTGTTTAAAAACACCTTATTGAAGACTTTCTGGTATTGAGAGAAGAGTGATGCCTTTATAGTTCTCACGCTTGTTGAGATCGCCTTTCTTTGGCATCTTGATCAGGTGTCCTTCCCAGTCTGTTGGAGTTGCAGTTGCTGCTACATCTGCTTTCAGTACCTCTGCTGGAATGTCCGGTCTCGCTGTCTTGCCGCTCTTGATTTGTCTGATGGCCATGCTGATCTCTTCATTTGTCGGTGGGCAACATTGATTGGAAGGTCCCTGGGTGCTGCTTCGATGTTGGGTGGGTTCAGTGGAGCTGATCGATTCAAGAGTTCTTTGAAGTGTTCTATCCACCTGTTCCGTTGTGCTTCAATGTTGTTGATTACCTTGCCCTCCTTGCTTTTCATTGCTCGTTCTGGTTTACGATAATTTCCAGCGAGTTTCTTTGTTGTGTCATACAATTGTCTCATGCTTCCTTCTCTTGCAGCCTTTTCCACCACCATTGCTAGATCTTCCATATATTTACGTTTGTCGGCTTCGGTGCTCTTCTTCGCTTGCTTGTTTGCTTTTGCGTATTCAGCTTGTGCCTTGGATTTCTCTGCTCTTGTTCGACTGATATTGATTGCTGCCTTCTTGAATCTTATCTAGTGTATCGACGATGATCCATTCCTTGTGATGATGCTTCTTGTGGCCCAGAACCACATGACATGTTGAAGTGATTGCCTCTTTGATCCCCTTCCAGTTGTTCTCCATGGTAATTCCCTCTCAATAGAATAGATCGTGAAAGGCCTAGAACCTATTGCTGAGGGCTATCTTGAATTCGTTGAGTCTGTCAGTATCCCGAAGAAAGGCCGTTTTAAACTTTTGTGATGTTGTCTACCCCGTTGTTCAATGCTTCTTGAGTTTCAATTTCATCTTGGCGACCACCAAGTGGTGATCTGAAGCTATATCAATTCTTCTTTTGGTTCTCACGTCCTCCATTGACATTCTGAACCTTTTATTGATGCAGATGTGGTCGATTTGGTTCTGTGTGGTGTGATCCGGTGAAGTCCATGTGATTTTTTGAATGCGTTTATGTGGGAATATGGTGCCGCCTGTGACCAGTTTATTGAGGGCATATATGTTTGCAAATCTCTCACCATTTTCGTTCCTCTTTTGCAGTCCATGTCGTTCCATGATGTCTTCATATTCGGTGCTGCCCATTCCGACCTTGGTATTTAGGTGTTCCATCAGAATGGTCAGGTCCTTTGTTGGGCGTTTCTCAAAGATTGACTGCAACCTATCGTAGAATTGATTTTCAACGTCTTAATTGTAAGCGTTGGTAGGCGCATAGAATTGGATGACGTTCATTGTAATGCCCTCTTTGTTTTGAAGGGGGCTTATATGACCCTGGGTCCATGAGATGCTTGGCATATCATAACCAAATAAAAGTATATTATTTGCGTATTAAGTCAAAAATTAAATCCCCTTGTCGGAAATCAACTCCCGGAAACTTAGACTATAAAAGTGTTGTAGATCACCAACATAGGTAATCTGTGTCAATGATTACGAAGCCTACTCGAGTTGAATGGGAATGGTGTAACCTCATAGGTTATGTCAAATTTACACCTCGCGGTTGATACATAACGTGGATTACTCTTTTGTCGTATGGCTAGTTTGATGACCGTATGGAACAAACATAACGATATTACAGGAATCATTATTGGTGAGAGTAGGTACAAGAAACAATGCGACCACAACCTCATGAGGCAGTCCATGGTATGCAGCTGATTGATGCGCGTAGGTTGTTCTTGACCCTGACGAGGATCGATTAACTGTTTGGTATTTAGTGACCCAGCTTCCGGGTGATTTGGCTAGGGTCCAGTGACATTCCAAAAAGAATGTTTTCTAGGAAGTGAAATAAAAATAGATAGGTTGGACAACGCGGTTCACAAACACTTACTCGACTGGTTATGTTTGTGTAGAGAGCCTGCTCAAGGCTGATGTTCTCCGGTATGCCTCTTAATGACAGATACTGTCGTAAACCCTAACGATTTACAAAGTCGACATGAAAAAGTCAATAGCAAGTTTGATAACACATCTGAAATTAATTAGGTACCTTACATTGTATCGATTGTCAGTGATTTTTGCTCTGACTATCATAACTGAATACCGGGGAATATGTGTTAAAATGGACGATATTTTTAACCTATTGAACAAAGTACTTAGATGGTTTCATTCTCTATATGGATGAAAATATTGTAAGTGAAATTTTTTTGAAATTCCAATTATAGTAGTTAATCAGCTCAAGAAGAAAGACTAATATTTTCTTCCAAATAAATTTACACACAATATATGTAGTTTGTAGAAAAGATAATCAAATATGATTTAGTTTTTGTAAGTAGCCTTCTTATTTGCTGATTTATTAATTTTTCACCCGTTTTATTCCTTATCTTTGTTTTAAATTTATATCTAGGAATGTACGTAACTTTTCGGCCATTAACTTTAGTGTTAAAGAGGACAGAGTGGATTGTGTTGCGCTTTCTAATCCGATAATTATGATCACACCTAATGAACTTCAACACTGTCTAAATGTGAATGCATTCCAATCTGCCTCGAAAAATTTATATCATCCCTCTGCAAAAATGGCTGCTATTGCTGCCTCTCAATCTCATTGTACTAGACCATCTTCTGTACCTGGTTGTTTTGAACGTCGAGAAGGTTTCAGTGTTTCAACAAAAAATCAGTTATCTCCTGTAAACTCTGATAATCTATCGCTGTATCCTAAAATCAGTCCAATCTATCATTTGTCTTTATCACCAACTACCAATACGTGCAATGAAGAGCATATTTCACCTGGTTTAAGAGGTTTGTTGCCTACTTTTTCGCTCCAATGTGTATGTAGTCTTTCACATAGAACTTAAAGACAATCACTTTGTTTTTTTGAAATTTTTTTGAAAACTTTGTAACTGAGTAAGAAGAAAAACCTAATCCATTTCTTGCCTTTAAGAGCTTGATGAATGTGCATAGAAGACATGATTGTGTAAAACTTGATCATTGTTTGGCATTGTTTCATTAACTATGGAAAGTAGAACATTTGATTACTAGGAATTCTTACAATAAAATCAGAGCAACAATTCATAAAGGGAATCAATTGCTTGAAAACTCCGAAATTAGTTTTTTTTTACTGTCATATCAAACACTACAACATCCGGTTTAAGTCGCTACATTACAAAATAAAGAGTACAAATATGTAAGTATGCACCTAAGATTTAAGATACAAAAAATGAATCCATGTGTATTATGAAGATTAATGCTTTAAGTTCAACAACGTTCTCCGTAATAATGATTTACTTCGAACATGTTTATATTACACGTCGAAAAATAATAAACATTCAATTCAGGTATTCTTGATATGAAAGAGATTATTAATGATTGATTAGACGAAATCTTCGATTGTTAAAATCAATGAGTGGGATGCTAATCGATAAATGATAAGCAGATATATAATGTGGCTCGGTGATGACTGCTCACGAGACCGTATTATTTACTTAAGGCCCCCGATGGTTAGTCACTCGGCTACAACGTAGGACCAGGCACATATGTACATCGGTCCAAGTTGCCATACCCCAATTGCTAGAAACCAAAGACAAGACCACTAAGCCCGAAGAAAAAGATTTTTCACTTGATAAAATGACGTTTATATGCAGAATACTAACAAAAGGTAAACATGATAAAATTTCATGAGTGGTCGTAAGAATCAATTTATAGGTCACTCGTTCCCCAATCAGTCAAGGTATCTAGCTGGTAAGTTTAATCTTTGTGTATCGCATCAGTTCTATTGAATATATCCGTTGGGAATATCTTGGAAATGAAGCTTAGTCCCCATCGTATTTTTAATTGCTGCATTTTTGAGCTGATTATACCACAAACCGCAAATTCAGCGTCTATATCAATTCGCTTTGTCGGATCAGTTTTGCTATGCTGCTGTTTTCTTTGTTTCTAAACCATTTGTTAAGTATGTGCAAAACAATTATGCAACAGTGTTTGGCCTTTCTTGCAACAGTAAAACCTCTCTTATGAAGAGCGTTTTCTGCTTTCTTTATCTTCAATATAAGGGATGTGGAGATGGTTGAATTTTACTGAAATCGTAAACTAATCTAAATCATTTCATTTTGTTTCCGATCAGTGTTCCAATAATATTGAGCTTACGTTTCTACCCATCACAAAGTTGAGTTGGAGGTCTCACCAGTTCTAATATGTCGGTGGCAGCGGTTAACAAAATCTTTGCACATATACATGATACTTGCGTGACCTATTTAGCAGACAAGAAGGCGGTATGTTTAGTGAAATTTGAACCATAGGATCTAAAGGTACGCTTTGGTGTTTACTCACCTGTTTTCGAAACAGTGTTTACAAATGGTGGGACCACTAAATAATTAATACAGAAATAAGGCGTAGTGTTAACTTAGACTGCAAATTATGTGGTAGGTCCAAGACCATTTACTGATTGGTGCGTTTGGGACATTTAATAAGGATAGATAACCACCACGTCTCGAAGTACTGTGTCGTTTAACATTAGCGTAAACTGGGAAAGGACTTTGGACAAACAATTTTATTATTTATTTATTTTAACACATAGATATTGGTACAAGGAGGCACCAAATACATATGCGCCACACAAATCTCATTCGATATGTGTGAGGGCTGTGATACTGCCCGGGTGCCCAAACCACCTGGACAAACACATGGGATTAGTTCATGAAGTTATTGGATTTTGGTTGGACTGGTGTTGTTCACTTCAACTTACATACATGCGGATTTTGTAGTGGGAACGCGACTTGGTTTTACCTTCACTTATTATTAATATTTTTATTTTGTCTAATAATTTCTATTCTTTCTAAGGTTCAGCATTCAATAATGAAATTTCTCAAAAGTATTATATTCCTACTAATTCACCTCAATCCACTGTTGTTATTCAATACTCAAGCGGAGAGGATTGTATGGTAGGTTGTTTTTCATTTGATGCATCACATACTCCTTACTGTAATAAATCTAATATATTTTATTCTGTTATAGATGAAAAGTTGATAACTACAATTTGATGTTAGTTGATTACAAAGATAATAATTTCTAGACAGTTCCACACTTGTTAACATTCCGCATCAGTTATAAACAATCAATACAATAAAGTATCATGCATTATTTCCTATTTTTCCAAGTTACCGAACGGTATTTATGAAGTAGTCCGTGCACTGCAGCTATCTATTATATACCAAATGCGAACACTTTTTTTAAAAGAGATTCATGTTGATATTTAATTAGCGTTGAGTGTTTAATTTCCTATAATCAATGGTTTTACAGTCATCTATCTCGATTTACATTGATCAATAATAATTGTTAACTTATTTAGACAAATGTTTAATTCGAAGAGACAGTTTACATCACAAACTGATTTCCGATTAACATTCTTTGGGAAATTAAGGCGAATTTACTGAGTCAGTCAGTCAGTCATAATCAACGTATAGCCTGGTATAAATGTACGTTAATCGTTGTCATACCACACTGGCAGGACAAGATAACATCAACAAAATGAATAGAAAGGAAAAAAGCTAAACAATGAGATTGCACTTCGAAAAGACAGAATAAAGTTGTGTGTTTATATAAATATTCGAAGTCAAGATGTAGAGAAAGATAAAAAGTGAATATACTTACTCCATTTTAATGGACTCCGAATCATGTCACTCAACTTCTTCAATCACTGGTTACAGTTTCCATGTGTACGCCCACCAACTGGTCTACATCTACCAACATAATTCAGTTCAAAAGTTAGCAAATCGATAAACTAATGTCACGTTTCGGTTTGGCTGCGCTGTCACCACCTTTCTCCTCCTAACTTACTACCACACAAACTAACATTATCCGTCGAGGTGTGAGATGGTCAAGTATGCGCAATACATACCCTAGCTACCTCATTTGATGAAGATTCACGATATTATCATGCGACTCGATATCTTTGCGTAGTATCCTCTGTGCTTCATTTAGTTGTTTAGTTTTCGACAGTTCAAATTTTCTAGTGTCACTGAATTCTATGTTTTGCTTAATACTTTTTCTAAGTAAATCTGATGTGTTATTGCTGTTATGATTGTCTGTTATACTCTCTTTCTTCTTACGGTTAATGACCCAGCTATTCCTATTGCTTAGTATTCTTGGACACCGATTCACTCGACAAGTCCCCAAATCAGAACACGGTTGAACAGGAAAGAGATTATATTCCAAATAGCAAGTCAGAAGCCAGTAGGAAGCACAATAGGGGAAAACGTCGGGATATTTATAGTTTTTACATAAGAAGATTCCAGAGTATTCTCAGACTATCGACTAGTGCTGATTGGATAAGAATCAGCCAATCAGCGTGCACCAAAGCAATCATGCATTGAGCATGCTTTAATCTAGTCTATGTCCTGCTAACACCTCCCCTCTGAGCAGATTCGTAGGATCTGGTGCTAGGGTCCAACTGCAACTGAGTGACTGCCTTGTGCTTCCGATTAGTTCATCGTCTAGGCAATAAAGAATTATCACTTTTTTCTCGCACAGAGACTGACATGTCTGTTCCCGGCGCTTTTATTTTTTTAAAAATAAAAGTATGAATAACTTTTAATTCTCCAACATTCTCCTCCTCCACGAAACAATGTCGGATCCTTATATCTCCGAGTTACAAATAATAGGACTTTATTTAAACGATGTTTCTCGCATTGAATGTCGGATCCACTAGAAACGACTAGATGATAATGAACGACCTTTGATTTGAGGTCAAAGTTTAATTCTTCTGAAGCATTACTTTCAAATCCATTAGGAATTTCATCAGCGGATAATGGATCATTACGGAAATCATCATCTAACAAAATTAAATTAGACTTTTGACCATAATTTGACTCAGCTGATATATTTTCCTGATTTTTATGAGAAATTTCATCAAAATAACATGCATTGTTCTGAGAACCCATGTCTGATACATTGTCATTAGGAATCGGATAAGCTGATTCAATATAAGTTCCTGTCTCACAATGATTTTGAGTAACATTCGGTATAATTGGGTTCGTTGTGTCACTGCAGTTATTTTCTGAATACGAGTCCCCATAGCTTTCTTGGCTAATATCACGTGGACCATAATTTTGTTCTAGCTGAAGTTTATTTTCAGAGCTAGACAGGACCAGTAGTGCTTCATTCAATTCTGGACTCCGGGCTTCATCTACAGGATCTGGCTCTTGATCATCTCGTATTGCCACAACTTTATGAGCATTCAGCACAGTATTTTCTTGTTGTGAGCCGGACACGTTACAAATATTACGTTCTGATTCAGGTATAAAGGGATTTGAACCCTCCACTAGATATGCTTCTGAAATGTCTGTTACTGCATCATAAACAGATTTCTTATTTTCTGGTCGAGTGAAAAGTGTGTTCAATAGTTGTTGTTGCAAGGCTAACAACTTCTGCTGGTGCTGTAATATTAACTGCAACTGTTCTAAAGAAATCGCCATTTTTCTTTAGTTTTTCCCCGTCGCCACTGTTATAATCTCTTTCTTCTTACGGTTAATGACCCAGCTATTCCTATTGCTTAGTATTCTTGGACACCGATTCACTCGACAAGTCCCCAAATCAGAACACGGTTGAACAGGAAAGAGATTATATTCCAAATAGCAAGTCAGAAGCCAGTAGGAAGCACAATAGGGGAAAACGTCGGGATATTTATAGTTTTTACATAAGAAGATTCCAGAGTATTCTCAGACTATCGACTAGTGCTGATTGGATAAGAATCAGCCAATCAGCGTGCACCAAAGCAATCATGCATTGAGCATGCTTTAATCTAGTCTATGTCCCGCTAACATTGTCAAACCCTTATGTTGATCTTCTTTCCGACAATTTTTTCTTCACAGCCTTCTCCATTTCACCATTCGAATTCCCCTCATCTGCGTAATCCATCATTTAGCGATTCTTCTCCTATTTCAATTGAACATAACAAAAAACATAATGCAGTTGATCAGAGCAATAATAACAGTAATACTACTAGTAATAATAACGAAAGTGAATTAGTACCGTTTGATCTCCCCAAACTGTGTACAAAATCTGATGGAGGCATTGCCTTGACTTTGCCTACAGATGTTATTCTGCCAGAGGATAATGAAGGACAAAGTACTTGGAATTATCACCAACGATTGATGGATGTTATTATAACTGTGGTTAATCGAAGTGGAGAAATATTATATTATGACAAGTAAGCTAATGGTGTCTATCATTATATTTCACTTGGTATGTGCATAGAAAATTAGTTAACCGATTAAAATATTGCTTGATATAACTTGGTAGTCACTTTTTATTTGTTCGTGTATGTAAACACTAGTGATACTAGTTGATAGGGCTAAACTGAAAATAAGTGTGCGTGTGTGTATTTGCTAAACTCAATGATTTAAAGTCAACCTCTTTAACCACTACCAACCCGATAAACATACCGCACAATTTACTTTTTTTGTAAAAATCAACTTGAATAGTATTTCATTAGTTTTAAGTCTTTACTTTTCAATTATCGAATTAAGAATTCACACTTGTGGTACGATTTTCGGTTTGATTAGCCATATGAAAATGATAAACCCTATGTATTTTCATCATGTACACAAGGTATATGTATATTGTAGTTTGTAAACTCTGTTCTCCTTAATGAGTATTGAGTTATAATAAAAATAGCTTAAAAATACTGCAACTTGGAACTGAGAAAGTGTAGTTGAATATGAAAGATTTTTGTGTACTTAAATAAGTTACAAAGTAATTGGGACGTTGCTTAGCATTATTTGCAAATCCCAACAAATTATGTAATAGTTACTTCAATTCTTAATTATCTGATAATACGATGACCGGTTGATAGCAAGGTAATTATTTAATAATCTATTCACACTGTATTCCAATTTAACTAAGTCGGGTGTATGTGTGTGTGGGGCATATTTACACTCGTTTCCATATACCCTGGTATAGCAAAGAGAGGGAGTCCTCTTCCCCTCTTGAAATGCTTTCATATGGCCACGCGTATATAGTTACTGCCAGGGAATTCCTATTCACTGTCTTCTCGCATCACGAGGCAAGCACTAACTTGGAATCCTGAAGGAAAACGGTAAAAGGGAAGGCTAAAGAACACACTGCGTCGGAAATCGGAAGCAGACATGAAAAGGATGTTTAACAACTGAAGACAGCTGGAAAGGATTACCCAGGACAGAGTTGTATGGAGAATGCTGGTGGACGGCATATGCTCCCCCACAAGGGGTAACAGGCGTAAGTCTTACAGCGGTACTGTTTATGAAAATGGGAGGACGACGTGCAAATGTTTGGCGCTTAAACCGGATTGGCGATAGGTATTGTTCAGGACGCTAGATTCCGTGGAATCACTCGTTAAATGTCCCATCTTTGTAATTTTGTTATGGAAATTCGAATTTCATTTTTGCACCAAAACGACCATTTTTACGTTCTGTTTGTTTTTCCCACCTGGAAGGACCTTAAATGTCATTGATTCATTTCCTCCTTTAGTACGCTATTTTGTGACGTTTTCTAAGGACATTTTTGTACTGTACATATACGCATAAGTTGTGTGCATGTTCGTTTGTGTATCGGCTACTTGTAGAATGTGTGTTTTCCCAGCTGAATCTGGTCTTCTCGCCCTAGTTAGCAGAGTTGGGGTGCAGTGGAATAGTTTGGCTTCGCCTGTTGTTGTTTTACTAACTTTCGTTCTGTTCGCCAGTCCCAGCTGGTATTGTAACCTCTTCAGTATCTGCGCAGTTTTGACATGCACACCAACCCGGTTAAGGCGTCGGACATTCGCTTTTCGTCCTCTCATTTTCGTAAGCAAACCCCCACCACGAAAGACAGTGAGTAGGACTTCCCTCTCAGTGGTTGTATACAGGTGGCCATGTGAGAGCATTTCGAGAGGTAGCGCTGACTCTCCTTACTCTCGTCTGTACCAGGGCATTTGGGTGCACTACACTGAATCATAGTGTGGTGATTGTTGATCGTTGCTCAAGATGTTTTATTCAATTTCTTATAATATTGATTGTGTGTAAAATAGCACACATCTGTCTATACTCTTTATACGTTGTAGATATTGTGAATATTTTTTACAGACTAGCAATCATTTACCTTGATATTTTTATTTATTCACTTATTTTTCTATGTAGAAACCTTCCAAATCAACAAAGTTTTTGCCTAGATAACAATGAAAAATGCGATGATAATGATTATGCTAATTTACAAATTGCTGACAGTTGGACTAGTAGAATTCAAGATGGTGACTTAGCAATTTGGGAGAAGCATACCTCTAAAAGTAAACTATACTCATTTAAATCAAGTTATCTTTTCCCTCTTCACTTAAATGATTCTCCTTTCCCACTAGTCATTTATTGCCATCCATAATGATTAATTATGGTGTGGCGACTCATTTACTAGGTAGATGGTTTGTGTAACTTGATTTTTGAGTAATATTTTTTCGTTTTTGAAGAGTTACTGGTACTCGATTATTCGAATCGAAGTAGATAGAACCAGATTCATACATACAACTTTCTAGTTTAAAATTGAGTACTTGATAACGATTAATTTACCATTGCTTCTTGTGATAGTAAACATGTAAATTTTAAACAAACAATTCAATTGTAAATATACACATGTTTTTTTGGTGTGTATTACATTTTAAAATCTTCAGGAAGTTAATACAAGTATAACTTCGGATAGAGTTAGCTAAATTCATCTTAGGTATAATGCCGCTCAACTGTATAGATTTCTTTTAGTGAATAAATATGTTTAAATGATCCATCGGTATAGGTTATAACACTACTCTAGTGGTAAGATAAGAAATGAAATTAATTAATATAATAAATAAAGCTGACAAATCTTCACATAAATAAAGAGTTTTAATGAAATACAAGATGAATCTTTTTTGTTTAACATGTGTTCCTATTCGAATAGTTGCATTAATTTTTTTAAGGATGAAAATAAAAGTGATTCTCTTATTTCTTGATAAATTATCGTTGTTTCATTTATTTACATTTTAGTATTTAATGAAGCATCTCGTTGGTCTCATGCCCGTAACACTTTACTTGAACAAAGTGTATTGTCAATTAACAGTGATGATGGAACAGTTGAAAACCAACAACATAAAATTTTTACATCATCTAATTCGAGTAGTTTAATTTCCCTTGAAAACTCTTCCAATCGTCATTTATTTGATTGTCCTATATATCGTGTAAAATTGGGTCGAAAATGGTTTTATGTTCACACGTTTAGTTTACCTATTAACCGTTGTACTAATTCAAGCCTGCTGCAATCAGATATCTTATTATGTGAACCATTGGTAGTGCATTATCATAATCTTCTTCGGTATGTTTATTCACTAATATACTTTTCCTTATATTTTATTGAAATCATGGATCAATCTAAATTAAACCACTATTGAAGGCATGGAAGCACTAGATGGTCGTTTCGTCATAGTATGGGACTCCTCAGCAATCCACACTCACGACCCTACACTCGGGAATCGAATCCAAGACCTACAGTCTCGCACGTGATCGCTTAACTTTTAGACTATTGATTCGGTATCCCACGGTGTTATTAACTAACTTCAATCAGTCTTGGTATTGAGTGCGTACTACTATTTGTACATTATGATTGGTTTCTAGTTTATTCAGGATTTACCTTATTTTAGATAGGAAAGAACTGTTTTTCATCGGTATTTCTAAAAGTTAATTTTTTGCAAGCCGTCAGACAGTTGTGAATAGATGAATATTATTTTGTTTGTGATATAGAAGCATCGTAAACTAGTGGAATACACTTGTGAACAAAGTAGTAACAACAGTAGTTGTCATTTCATACTTGATATCCAATTAAATTCCTAGAACTAATGCATAATCACCTTGAAGAGTTGTTGAAATTTTGTGCGATTTGTGCTAATATTTCTATTCGGTTCAAGTTAGTTAGCTGAATAAAAATTGTTTTGAACGTTTCAGTAGTGATATGCTTCAATTTAGATACATTGGTGGTACTGTTGAAGAAGTGTTTTTTTTAGTGATGTTGGATTTCCTGAACTATGATTGTGATTTGTAGATAATATCATCAGCGTATACTGCGAAATAGTACTATTTTGACCGACATAAATTTATGCCGAATTCCTAGTTTGAATATAACTGAATGAATGACTGCTTATGTTATTGATTTTTTTGGAAAATATGTTGATTCTAAATGTGTTATTTCGTGCTTTTACCTTTTCTTTAGTGAATGTGATCAAAGTGTAGAATCCACTGGTTCAAATGCATCAATATGTCTTAAGAAAGCCATTGCACAATCCACTTTGTCTATGGATTTGACTGAAACAAATTGTTCTAATTCATTTAAAAATACTGTTGTTCCTTGTTCATCTGTTTGTGAAAACCCAATATCATCACACTTAATCATATCTACTGTAAATGATCATTGCCGAATCAATAAACCGTTCAACGGTAGTAGTAAAAATCTTTCTCTTTCCACTAGTACTTGTCTTTCATATATCAGTTCACCTGATCCATCTGTTACTAGTGAGCAGACATTGGTTTTTAACTCAACTTCGCCGCCATTATCGTCCCTTGTATTACCTCATCATCATCACGTTCACCTTACACATTGTCATCATCATCATCATCCTAATGAAATTCACGATGCCACAGCAATAACATCAACTACCAACAATCATCGTCATCATCATCACCATTATGTCCGTCATCATCATACGCCCAATACTTCTCATGATTCACCTCAGCCTGTAATAGTTTCTCATCTTCCTCATCAAAATTCTATCGGAGAGAAATCTACTTGTTCGTCTGATACCTCACATAGACTTGTAAGTATTTACGTTTTGATTTTCTTTTCTCAGTTGAATGAATGCAAATGTAAACTTGTTAAGATAACCAGACAAATATTTCAAGTAAAGTGTTATAGTTGATGTATTAAATGTTGGTGTGCGTGAAATTAGTTATACATTAGGTGGTGGTTGGTGATAGTCAATAGTAAACCTTGAACCTCGGTTTCGTGCTAGTTGGCACTTGTCATCGAGACGTACATAGAATTTTGAGGAGGAGGGCTAGGGGTGACTAAACCAATAAGCGATAGCGTTCCACGAAGTCATTAACTGTTAGTCTGAGTCGTGTGGATAAATGCATGCTACCTGGTTGAGATTCACACAGTTATCGTAACTAATAGTTGTAGGCATTGGGTTGACATGGCTCAAAATCGGTAACAATAACCCATATCCTTTCACTCTTTGTTTTCCTTTAGATCTTGAGGTTCGAAATCATATTTCACTATTCTATTCCACGAAGCCACTCATGTCTATATATAAACTTTTTTGCTACTGCTGATAATGTTCCTACTACTACTATGCAATTTTTCTTAAAGATTTCATCGCTATGTGCTAATGTTTTATTTATTTATTTATTTGAACACATAAATATTCGTACAAGAGGGCACCAAATACATATGCGCCACACAAATCTCATTTGACTTGGCTGTGATGCTGCCCAGGTGCCCAAACCGAAGCAGGTGGTTTTCTTAGAGGGCCACACCCCAAGCCTTCGACTTGAAGGTCTGATCCACAAGGCAGTGGAGCATCGTAAGGAGATGCAGTCCCATGGAAGCCGGTGACCAACAATTGGTTCATACGCTATTTGTCCCCTCAGGGTACTGCAGCCCATGTGCACCATTGGTTTGGAATCCGGATAAGACGCCGGACATTCTCTTTTCGTCCTCATTTTCGTAAACAACAGCAGTGCCACGAGAAGGCAGTGAGTAGGACTTCCCTGTCAGAGGCTATATACGCTTGGCCATGTGAGAGTATTTCGAGAGAGAGAGAGAGAGAGTGGACTCTCCTAACTCTCGGCCATACCAGGGCATTTAGGGGCCAGTGTGAAAGAGAGAATTGAATTGATAAACATATGTACTTCGTCCTACGTTGCTTATGACTGACTGATGCACTACAGATTGCTCCCTTAAATTTTATAATAATTGTTCATTAATATATAAGATCGACCTTCTAACTAGATTTTTCTTGTTTTGTATCGTTTCTAGAATCAAAGAAAGATCAATATAGATCATGTTGGTTGTGGCTTAAGTGTGTATCATAAAGATTCGGCAAATTACAACTCATTAACCTGTCAGACAATTACAAATCATGATTATCAATCTCACCTAGACGCATCGCACCATCATCATCATCACCACCACCACCATCATCATCCCCTTATCCATACTGGGAAAAGTCTACATAATAATGACTATCATACTTATTGTCATCAAAATGATAAATCAACAATAACTGAGTTTGTACCTACATCGTCGTCATCTGCTATAAAATCTGATAACATATCTAAATCACCGATTCTTGTTGTTAGAAAGTCAAGTTCACAATCTCATTCAGAGCACTCCTCAACTGCAGATAACAATACAGTGCAATATGGAAATACGAATGTGATTGAAACATATTGTGATAATAACTCATTACTATCAGATATAAGTGGTGACTCGATGTATGAACATTTTGATACAGAATTTATACCTTCCAGTTGTAATGAAGAATTTCATAGTCGCTCAAATACTTATCATTACAGTAGTGATAGTAATCACAACAGTAACTCTGCTGTTGTCTATTCGACTGGAAATACCAGCGAATCTCTGAGTGGTTTATCGTTTACTAATATCCAATTACCTCGAAATAATAAAATTAACTCTGCTACAGAGAATGCTAATGATGGTAAGTTCATTTCGTTTTTTGTCTGATAGATATATGCGTTATTTGGGTGTTAAACACACGTACGATTTTGCATTTGATTTGTGTGAGAGCAGAAATACTGCTTGAGCACCCACTCTGAGCCTTAACCCAGAGGTCGAGTCCACAACTTAGTGGAGCAACTTTAGGAGGTGCAGTCCCATGGTTTTCCAACTCCCCTAGGTGGATCGTCCGTATCTACCGACCCGGTTAAAATACTAGACATTCGCTTTTCCTCCTCTCAATTTTGTAAAGTCTGAGTTATGTCGGTGAGATTAAAATCACTTTATACCTTTCTTTCTACGAACTAATTCTTTCTCCTTGTATCATCCCCTTATATGCAGTCCCTTTTATATATTACCACCATTGAAGTAACTGCTTTTATGAATTTGGTGTTCATCTTGTGCTAGTGAGGTATGACAGCTTGAACCGATGCATATATGTGCCTGGTTCTACGTTGTAGACAATTGACTGATTAGAGATGATACTTCCATACGACCATACTATTGTTGTCGACGGTGTGACTTCTCCCTCATACTTTAAGTTCACTGCTTTTTGTCTTCCCATCAACCAACTGGTTTGCTTGACATGGTAAGTTCCTCAAAAGCTGGTGTTTCAGCCAAAATAACTTGATTAGATCGTCACAATGGATAAGATGTATTATTTATTACTTATTTAGACACATGAATATTTGTACAAAGGGGGCACCGAATACATATACGCCACACAAGTGACTTGATTCGTGTATGGGGTGTGATACCCCACTGGTGCCCAGACCGAAACAGGTGGTTTTCTTAGGGGGCCACACCCAGAGCCTTTGACCTAGATGTCAAATGCACAAGGCAGTAGAGCAAGGTGAGGAGATGCAGTTCCATGGTAGCCAGTGACCAATAATTGGTTCACACACCATTTGTCCCTTCGAGATCCTGGAGCCCATGTGTACTATTGGTGTGTACTGTAGGGTTTTCGAACTCTCCTAGATGGGTCCTCCATGTCCACCAACCCGGTTAAGACGCCGGACATTCGCTTTTCGTCCTCTCAATTTCGTAAAGGCCACCCTCGGCCGTACCAGGGCACTTGGGCTCCATGGATAAGATATTTACCAAAAACATTGTAAAGCTAGAATCGAATGATGATAATTCTGACTGGCTAATATTAAGTTTCTTGTAAAAATAAATTATTCTGTAGAGAATAAGATATCGTCATGTGTCAGTTATGTTCTCTCTTTTGTAAGTTTTATCTTAACTGTCTAATTGGGTTTGATTTGATTAAAAAATTTAACGTTTTTTCATTTACAGGAAATTCTTCCACTGAAAATCTTCATAATGTACTAAAAAATAATACTACTAATCGTCAACCAATACATGAAAATCATCAAAATGATAGTTGTAGTATACAACATAGATCACTGAATAAAAATCAATACGATAGACGGTAGGTTATTCTTGATATCGATAAAATTGAAGACGTATTGATTAGCCTTTTTAACCTGTTGTCAATTATTAAATAGCCTCTTTCGCAGATCTATGATGCACAGGTAAATCCGTTGTAATTCATGTTTTAATTGTAAACAGTTAGTCAGTAACAACGTAGGACTTCGTACGTACGTACATCAATTCGAGTTGCTACACCACAACACAGAGATGCAGTTGTCGACTCAAATCCCGTAGTGGTAGAGATAGTAAGAGTATAAGCAGTAATCGTAAACATTAAGGTTTGGAGATGTTATTTAAAGAGTATAATCCAGTGAAATAAATTTGGAAAGAGTAAAAGAAAACGGATATCAAGAATTCAGAAAATTAGAATTTGGGAGAACACAGAGAGTGGATGCACCTGCGCCATTGCAAACGATTTTGAGCCATGTCATTCAGGGTCTCTAACCATCGTTTACTATCATCTCGTGTTCGCCAACCAAGTAATCTACACCTACCAACATGACTCACTCAGTTCAATTGTCAGTGACTTCATGGATTTGTTTCATACTTTGGTCTGGCCGCCCCTAGCTTTCTTCCAACCTACTCCTATACCATAAAACATCACACATCGGCACAGTCGGCGGTTAGGCATACGTAACACGTGTCCCAGCCATCTCAAAGCAAAAGAGAGTTAAAAGACAGCAGCAATAGGTAATAGCAGACAATTGTTCAGACTTGTTAGGGAAACCGGTATTAGGAACCCGACTGTTAGCGAAACGATCTCAGAAAAAGATGGACATATTATGCATTCTCAATCCAGGAGGTTGGATCGATGGGCAGAACACTTTAGGGATCAGTTCAACTGGCCTTCAGCCACACTTCAGTTTCCCACGATCTCCAGTCAACCTGAATGGCAAGTTAATGTAGGTCCTCCGATATTTTATGAAGTTGAAAAAGCTATCGGAAATCTGAAACGAGGGAGAGCAGCAGGCCCTGACAGGTTCACTCCTGAGAATTTTAAGGATTGTGGTCCAGTATTAGCAGTAAGATTAACTGAGGTCTTAGGTGGAATTTGGGAACTGGACGTAATCCCATCTGACTGGTCTCAATCACTGATTGTGCCAGTCTATAAGAAAGGACAAAAGTCCTCTTGTGACAATCACAGAGGAATCAGTTTGACTAATATAGTGTCTAAAATATTAGCTTCAATAATACTTCGATGTCTAACTAAAGCTCGTGAAGAGCAGACTAGAGAAAATCAGGCTGGTTTTCGACCTGGACGTAATTGTACAGACCAGATATTCACACTATGTCAGGTTCTAGAACACAGACACACATTCAGACGCCCCACAATGGTAGTATTTCTCGACCTTAAGGCGGCATTCGACTCTGTCGATCGTAAGGTTCTATGGCAGTGTTGGTCACTGAAAGGAGCACCAAAGAAGTACATCCTTAAAAATCTCAGGAGTAAACCTGTCAGGGCCTGCTGCTCTCCCTCGTTTCAGATTTCCGATAGCTTTTTCAACTTCATAAAATATCGGAGGACCTACATTAACTTGCCATTCAGGTTGACTGGAGATCGTGGGAAACTGAAGTGTGGCTGAAGGCCAGTTGAACTGATCCCTAAAGTGTTCTGCCCATCGATCCAACCTCCTGGATTGAGAATGCATAATATGTCCATCTTTTTCTGAGATCGTTTCGCTAACAGTCGGGTTCCTAATACCGGTTTCCCTAACAAGTCTGAACAATTGTCTGCTATTACCTATTGCTGCTGCCTTTTCCATTTCTCTTGCTTTCGCTTCCCACCACTGTTCACGATCATTGCGTAGGCTTCTTGTCAGCTTGCGCTTAAATTGACTCTGCTCTTCGTTATGTTCAGATCCAGATGGAATGAGTTTCCGAGCGTCTGTCGGTGCGATAGATGCTGTTGAGATCGAGTGTTGCTCGCTAACCTTGTGGTTTACCTTACTAGCAAATATCACTGCTGTTTCCACAGCTTTTCGGATATCATTCCATGCTGCCTCGGTGTGGGCATCATACATGGCTGTCTAACTGTTTTCCTAGTTATTCATGACATATACTCTTGGTTTGACTATCATTAAATGGGGCACTAAGAGGTTTCCCTGCAGCGTCTTTCCTACGTCCAGTAAGACACAGACAGATACGCGCTCGCACTAGAGCATGATCTGAATCTAAGCATGTGCTGCAGAATGAGCGACAGTCTTCTATCGAGCCCCTCCATCGGTGGCTGATAGCTATGTGATCTATTTGGGTCCAACGTTGGGACGAATTAGGTGGTCGCCATATTATCAAAAGATGTTTTTGCTTATGCTTAAAGTTAGTATTTGCAAGAAAGAGGCGATTATCTGAACATAGCTGCAACAGATGGTTGCCATTATCTGTTCTTTGAGTCGCGATACCATAAGATCCACCCAGGAGTCTTTCCCTTTCGCTTAGTTTACCTATTTGAGCATTAAAGTCACCGGCCACTATTACTACATCCGGGTGCTTAGCTTTTCGGAGAAGGTCCGAAAGCTTTCTGTAAAACTCATCTTTTACATCATCTGCGCTGCAGTCAGTGGGAGAATAGGCAGAGACGACGAAGAGGCAACGACGAGTGTCCCTATCTTTCCGAGTCCTTATTGTTCCATTCAGTCGGACAGCGCACAAACGACTGTCTACTGGGATCCACTCTAAGAGAGCTAGTTCTACCCTAGGACTCAATGCTGTACCTACACCGGCGAGGCCACGAGAAGCAGCATCTGGGCTTCCAGGTACACGAAGTGTGAATCGAGTTGGTTCTTTATTTTGACATGGTGAGGTCAAATGAATGACGCTACTCGGATCCTGTATGCGCGTTTCGGAGACGCAGCACACATCGATGGCGCGAGATTCTAAAGTCCTAGCTAAGGAAGCCTGTTGTCCTATTTGGCACAGTGTTCGGACGTTAAAAGCTCCTACGTGTAGTTTAGAGCGTGGTTTCAGGAGACCAGGAATAGCGTTCCACGTACTCGAATCGTTTGCTCTAGCGGTGCGAGGTGATAAAGAGACGGGAGGAGGGTTAGTCATGGAGAAAAAAGAGGTATTAAGAGGTGTAGGAAGGATTTGAATGTGACCAACTTGGTCTCGTGTGCTGTTACAGGTATGAGGGCTGATATCACTTCCCGGCTGCCCACACCGTAGAAGGGTATTTCTTGAGGAACCTGAAAAGGAAGATGGATTAATGTCGGCCTTAACGACCTGGGAGCGTGACCGCAGAACCCAAGGGACAACTGCTTGAGGCCAGTCGCGTACGGCCTTTTCGTTTCAGGTTTTAATGTGTTAACTCCGTTCTTCAAAGGGCCTTACCGCTGGAGACGGAAATCCATGAGGTGTGACATTTTTAGGGTCGACCTTTTCTAACCCCACCCCTCCTTATGGGAAGGCAGCATCACTGTAGATGCTGGTTGTCTGAGGGAAACACTTTACTGCTGTCACACCCCTCTACAGTCAGCAGTACCACTTCGCCCTCAGACCTTGAGTTGCTGCTTTTAGTCTTACCGTTCACCAATCGACCTGCCTGGCATAGTAGAACCTGCAGGAACATATGTTCCAGCCAATATAGCTCGGTTGGGTCGTCACGATAGGCAAGCCCGACCACCGCGTCAAGGTAGCAGCTAGCTCCAACTGATGGAATTTCAATAATTAAATAAAGTGATAACGTCTATAAATTCAGGGATCAGTTTATATACACCTGTTCCAGTGGTTGTCTATAAAGGTACATTATGTGTAGAATGTACATATTTTACAACAAAACGTGAGGCAGAGTAGAAAAATGACTTATTGAACCTACCTGGCATAAGACCTGTAATACGAAAATTGCCATTTGAATCCGTTACAGATTGTTCCCGTGGAATAATATTAATTTGATCATATCGAAGTTGGCACGTCATGTTGCTATTTGATTTTAAGTGCAACAAATCGTTATCTATAGTATTTTGTGTTCTAGGTAAACAGGAAGCTTCAGCTAAAACATCGGACTCTGGGATACCAGTTAAAGAAGTAATAACTCCTGAAGCGGTAGGATAGGATCTTACTTCTCAGGAATAATTAGGCAGTTTACTAGAAAACTATCATCAAATACTGCCTTTTGCATTGTGGATATACTATGGTTATTACTTTGTTTTGCTGTTACACAGTTTTTAAAAAATATAGAATCTTTTGAACTACTTAAGTACTAATGTATAAGAATCTCTGAATTATGTATTTTCTGCCAGTCACATATATCCTTCATTGGAATATATTACTCCAGAAATTAATTAGTTAAAAGAGTGTTAACCATTTTATCTAATTTAATTCGCTATCGTTTGCGTTAGTATCTTTTTCGGCCATCTTAATTATTTCAACAATCGGGGTTAAAATGTAAAGTCAAATCTAATCCTGTTTAGTTTCTATGTTGATATTCTTCCTTAAAGATATCGGTTCAGTTAATTCCATCAAGGTGTGTTATATATTTTATGACTAGATTCAGTAAAATTCTGTTATATTTTCACCAGTTCCATTAAAACGTTTATTTCGTTATCTATCTTTCAGTGAGTCTGATAGGTAAGTATTTTCATAGTGTGTACATCAAATCATATAACATCTAGTTTTTTAACATCTAACACCAACTCAGTAATAATTATAACAAACAATATATATATCAGGTACTTGATTCTTAAATTTTAACCATTTCATTTCCTTACGTTTGATTTTTAATGATTATTGGTAGCTTAGTGGTTAAAGATACCTGATTTTCAACTACAGTAGACCGCATGCTAAATATTCCTTTCAGTACATCTGTTTCAATTTGGAAATTTGTGTATTAAGTGTTACTAAACCTCATACAACGCAAATATAACTCATGGCCAAGTACACTAATTCGTGCTTGGCAATGAATCATTATTAATTTGCTGAGTTTATTTATCACATGATAAACAGAAAAAGATAACGATATGTAACATCATACTAAATTGAATTAGTTCAAATAACTTTATTGCACACATCGCATAGAAGTAATCGATTCCTTCTCCATTCATCTCGTCGTGAGGTGTAACAACGTGCACCAGTTTATATATATGTTACACTTTACATTAATTATAATTTGCATAGAAGAAAAAATAAGAGGGGAACGAGGTTAGAATCATGTGTTCATCAAATAGGCATACCCACTTATCTCTTCTAAAATCTACCAACTGCAAGAATACTAATAAAAAGCACCTAAAGGAAAACATGACATCAGATCAGATGTTAACTACTCATAGTTTCAGTTGTATCAGTCGATATAAACTTCATGGTGGTGATAGAATTTTAAGAGATAATGTTAATCCATGATTGAATTCAGTTTTTATCCCCCCCCCTCCTTTCTTTAAATTCCCTAATGTAATTGATATTATTGTATCATAATTCATTTGCATTTCATCTTGTTAACTATTTCCTCTCTCATTCTTCACTGTGATAAGTCAAATTGGAATACATAATAAATCCCATTTTGTTTTATAAGTAATTTGATAAATTAAACCTATCCAATACACCCACCTATATTCACAAATACTGAATACACGGATAAGTGGATATTCAATGATTTCATTATTTAGAATTTTTCTTAGAGGAAAGTTATTTATTTTCGTTTCGTTTTCGACAATTCCATCTTATTTTGATACACTTTGTCTTATATTAATAGAGAACAAACATATGGACTAAGACTAAGTTTCTTTTTTTTCAGAAAAAAAAAACGCACCAATTATACTTCCATGTGTATAGCATAACTTGATAGATAGTTGTTCTCGTTTATGATGGATGTTAATGATGATGAAGCGTTAATTTTTCATTATTTATTTGAACATAAATTAATTTAGATTGTACAATTGTAACAACCGAATTCATGTTGATTCTTAGGCTAAGCACACTGTTTTGTGGATCGGTTGTAGTTGTTAAAGGAATCGTCTCTCAACCAGTAAGTAACGAGTTTGAATTTCGGTACGCCTACCTTGCTTTGAGAAGTCGGTGAAACCATTGACTTTCATAAAAATGATAAGGCCCAAAATCTAGGTATGTATACAAAAAATGGTAAATGCATTTGAGCTCTTAGGAAAGATTTTGAGCGATTTCACCCAAATTCTCTAATTACTACTGATTACGATAATTGTGCGAAATGCAACCAGGTAGGATACATCTATTAATATAGATTGATCCAATTATTAATGATTTGTATGATGAGTGAGATGTTTTGGATTTGGCCATTGTTAGCTTTCTTCCAACCGAACACTCCTACACCAGATGATATCTGTTAGGGTGAGGTATTTGGTAATTGGACATATGTAACACATGTCCTAACCACCTCAATCGACGAAGATTCACTATTTGATCAGTCGACTTTGCATATTTAGCTAGTATCTTATGTTTGAGCTGAGAATTGCTAACTCAATGGTCTGAACATACGTGAGCGCTGTTTCGAATTCGGTAAGGTCTGATGGAATACTAGTAACCCACGAATATCGTGTATTGTTTATATTGATGTTTTGCACCCATAAATGAGAACGTAGTAAAGTGATGTTGCGTAGAGTGGACTGTTGTTGATGATAGGGATATCTGACCTACTGCAGAAGTGACTTAGGTTGGGTGAAATTAATGAGATTTCCAAAATTTGTGTGGGACATGGTTACTGATAGTTTGAAGGTAAGTGAATTTGTGGAGGTGTGTCATCAGCAAAGAGAAGTATAGCACCTGCGTATTGTAAATAAATTTACGAGAGGATCCTGTGATAGAAGATCGACTACTGACAAGTTAAAGGATGAAATCTGTATTTAGTTGTCTGTAGTCACTAGTGTAAGAAGAGTATAAGTACGTTAACGAAGTGGTATAAGTTCAGCATCATTAGCCTTGTCAATTAAGAGATGGCTCATAGGATATGAGGATTTGATAGTTCTAGTTTATTTGGTAAGAGTACAGTGATTTATTTCACGCTAATTTCTAATAAATTTGTCATGTTAGTTTGCATTCCGTATATTTTACATTGTAATCTGTTATGAAAGTAATTTAACCAGTTTATACTGATTTTTTGTCTTCACAAGAGATCAAATTTTTATACTCCATTGTTCGAAGTATACTTGTTGAGTGTGTATGTATGTATTTGGTGTTGCTAACAGATAACATATATACGTGTGGCTTATCATCTTATTAGTGTTCATATAAGTTGATTTCTAATTATTTTACTTAATATTATTGAAACTCCATTTTAACGTGTTGATATTTATATAATTGGATAGTAATGAATAGATTTACTAGCTTTCTTTCATTATTGCCTTAATTTCCCCCCTTTATATATATTAACTTTAATGTAATTATTGAGCTCCGTTTAATGTACACTTTCCACTCTTGGAACACACTGACAGTTGAAAACTACAAACTTACTCTAGTTGTTACATGTAATTTCACCATATAAAATTAAAGGAAGAATCGATTCAATTTTAAACTTATATATGTAACCTATCGTATTTCAACCATATATCTATCGGATTTTGTGTTGTCTATCCTTATCTTATTTGTTTATTTTATTGTTTTATTAGTTCGTCAATTTATAGATTCCGGTAAATATTCTTCCTGAATTCAATGAATCAATGTGATATTACAGTCATGTGGTCTTTGTTTATTGACTTGTGAATATTATTATCACATGATATAGAATTATACGAATCGATGAAGAGCGTTTTTTTTGTTTCTTAGGGGATTTCAATGGAGATTTATGTACTTATTTTTGCTGTATCGATAGATAGATAGGGAAAGATAAAGGCAACATATCTAATGAAATCATGCGGTTAATTATTAAGGGCTATTGTGAAAAGAACACAAGTGTATGCAATAGATGATATTACCATTCATTGTTTAACACATTCATGTATGAAAATAGTTGTGAATGATTGAATTCTATAAAGTGTGCAAATTTGTTGTTTTTCATGTTCATGATAAGGCATAAAATACAATCTGGTCATGTCATAGATCAAATTGTTGGTTATATGGATTTATTAGATAAGAACTATTTGTTTGAAATTTTATTGGTAAGGGCTTAAACTTAAAATACTTTATTCCATTGTACAGTTTTTCGTATTTCTTTATGATAAGTCTTGTGGATTGAACGCTATATTCGTCTCCTAAGCTGTTCTCGTAACCCCCAAGCTAGAACTATACAGCGAACTGAACGTGAGAGAGAAGACTCAAAGTATGCGAGAAGTAGTTTACTCCAAAATTCGTTTTAATACAGAAAATACAGGGTTTTTATAATATTTTAAATGTCCTTGGGTTGGTAGAAGATTCTGCAATGCTACTAAACAAAGTAGCAGTGTAACAACCAACCAATCAGAGCCTTTGCATGTGACGTTTCGCTTCCTTAATATTTTTGGCAAAAACTTCAAGTGAACGCTGATTGGATGAAACGCTTCTTAGTGTTTCCGGATGCTTGCTTGTCTTTTGCAAGCAATTTTCTGGATCACCCCAACACTTTATAACATCATTGATGTCAAATCATGTTTGTGTTAATAATTTGAGCGGTTCCAACGTTTCTCCCAACCACCTGGGTAGATTTTCATTAGGAAAATAATAAAAATTATCAAAGATAAATAAGGTAAAGAAAAAAATACAGTTCCGTACTACATATGCTCGTTCAGTAATTTTCCAATGTTGAATTTGTTCCTGTTAAGGATGTGTGATGTTTTGTATGATTTAATAACTTGGTGTCTAATTTCCACCAACTTGCATTCGAATTTCGAGACATGTCCATATAACTGATGTTAGCTTTTTAGTAATTTATATCTTCTTATCAAGAATAATCAAATATGTGTATATAAAAGAAAATATCGAACCATAACAATTGTAGTTGGCGCAAGCCATGATAATGTCTAAAATAACAAAAAAAAGTTTCGTAATCAAATTGTCCTCCACAGAGAACTCAAGATTATCAAAAAACATTCATCTTAACTATAAATCTTGTACATTTGTACGAATATTCGTCAAGATTAGAACGAATCATTTGACAGAAATTGGCCGCCGAGTAAATAAAAGTCATTATATGTGAAAATTATATTTGAAATATTCTCAGCGATTAAAGTATAACTAATTCCAACGTTTCGTCCAGCTAACCTGTCTGGACTTCTTCAGAAGTCGAAACTTTGGAATTATTTAAATTTCAATCGCTGAGATTATTTCAAATATAATTTTCACATATAATGAATCTTGTACATTGTTTCCAAGTTACTCTTACTTTGGCAAGAATAGTCGGTATTTTTTTTTACCAAACATTCAGGAGTTTTTCAAATGATAAGTCATGATTTACTGATGCGTTCAAGTTCTGCGCCACTGCATATTTAGATTTAAACATTCAGGGTAATATCACTAATCTTCACATATACAACGCTATTTCATCTTAAAATATGCAATACACAAACCTGTGCTTACATTTGATAGTGATAAATTTGTTTCATAACGGCTTTCAGTATCCTACCGTAAATATGTCAGCCTTTCAACACGTTTTTTTCTTTTCACTCTAGAAACAAAATCAAATCTTTAAATAGATTCTCTTTGTTTTCTTCGATTCATCAATGTTATGTTGGACAAATATAGATATCTGACATGTTGTTATCTTTTTTAGAAAATTTTCTTTATTTTCAAATATACATCCATGGAAATTATCTCATGTTAATTGTGAGATCAATCATTTGTTTATTTAGTGAATTTTCTGATTTACAAGTTATGTAATTATTGTGTAAAAGGTATAATACATGTATTATATTATTGGTAAAATTGTAAACTTGGCAACAAAAAAAAGTAATTTGTCACGTATATGCTAATTGAGATTTGTATTCTTAATGGCTTTCTTTCAATTATATATATATATATATATATATATATATATATATATATACATAAATTGAACATTGGTTAAATAGTTTGTCATCGTAATACTACTTATTTATTCTATCCAAATGAGCATAAGAAAATTAAATTCTCAAAGTTTTTGCAACTTAATGTGATTTACTCCTTCAGAGAATAGGTTTACAATTATATATCTATGTCTCTCATATTTATAATGCCTATTTCTTAAGTTCTCTACTTGTCACTTGTGGATTGATTGAATGTATAGTATTTAGTAACTTTTAATAAAAAAGAACAATAATTTACTTATTGTTTAATGGTTTCTATTTTGTTGTTGTTGGTAAACTTGTTTATTATGTGAAATAGATAAATTATTATTAGTAGTCCACATGGTAAGATCATTTTACTGATCAACTTAGTTATGGTTCTCATACACTGTATATTAGTAGATGTATTTTATTGATAAGGTTTTTCTCACATACGTATCGGGTAAAGTATACTCCCAAATGCCCTGGTACGGCCGAGAGTGGGAAGAGTTCCACTCTCCCTCTCGAAATGCTCTCACATGGCCACGTGTATATAGCTTCTGCCAGGGAAGTCCTACTCAATGCCTTCTCGTGGCGGGGGTGTTTTTTGCGAAAATGAGAGGACGAAAAGCGAATGTCCGGCGTCTTAACCAGATTCCAAACCAATGGTGCACATGGGCTGCAGTACCCTGAGGGGACAAATGGCGTATGAACCAATTGTTGGTCAGCGGCTTCCATGGGACTGCATCTTCTCACGATGTTCCACTGCATTGTGGGTCAGACCCTTAGGTCAAAGGCTCGTGGAGTGGCCCCCTAAGATAACCACCTGCTTCGGTTTGGGCACCTGGGCAGTATCACAGCCCTCACATATATCGAATGAGATTTGTGTGGCGCATATGTATTTGGTGTCCTCTTGTATCAATATCTATGTGTTAAAATAAATAAATAAATATTTCTAACCCTATGGGCGATATTATTCTCGTTGATGAGTTATGTCGTTTTAGGTGACATTTTATGTTTGTGTCAACAGTTCTTTTTGGATCATTTCCAGCTGTTAGTATAAATGGGACGTGGGCCAAGTAGTTAAGGTGTTATATTTTCAACCACTAAGTCACAAGTTCCTATTTTGCACTACTCACTTCGATTTGAGCGACTGGATAATATCATTAGCACTTACACTTTGTAGCTTTGAAGTTAATTACACAAATATGTATCTGATGAGATGAATTTAAATGAATTTGGCTTTTCAGTTAGATTTTCCCATATTTTTTTGCTATTATCCAGGAATTTGCTATAAATGACAAACTGAAGGAGTCATACAGTTAGCTGAATCAAATCTTCGTTATTCCTGTTTTTCTTCTGTTTTTCCCCAGTCTTTTCTTACTCCTGTTTGTTTTTTTATCTTCTCTCTTGTTTTACATCTGTTTGTTGATTTTTTTTCTACATACTGATAATGTTAAGTATGTGATATATTTACAATTGACACTATTGTTCTGAGGTCTAAGAACACTTTCATCTATATGTTTATGTATACAGTTTCAATCAATCAGTCACATACAACTCAAAACAGTATAAATTGTTAAATGTTATATGAACTCGAGGTTGAAAATTAGCAATGTGAGGAACAGACAAAAGAGAATTAATATTAACCGTAATAGAAAGCTATAAACTGCAAGTATTTTGATGATAGGTACCATCAAAGAATTCCGAATATATAGTGGGATCACTGAGTGAGTTATTTTGTAGTTGTGAGTAGAGAACTAGATAAAGAATGTAAGTCCACCTATTAGTCTACAAGCGTTCATCGACTAAGTTAATGTATGTGTTTCGTTGTACTCATAATCAGTTATTTTGAGATATATGAAACAGAGAAAAATAGGTCACAGTGACAGTTACATTCACTTATTATATTCTCTAGAATCTTGAGTTAAAGTATCATCGCTAAATTTTCATATTTTGACCTTATCTTCCTTAAGTTTTTTCACGTTTAAATTTTTGTCGTTTCCCACATTATTTACCTTTCTATATCCTTGTATTGTTTAATATCGTCTAGCCGCTCTGATGCGAGGTATGACAACTTCAACCGATGTATGCTGGTATCAAGTCCTACGTTGTTAATGACTGACTGATCACAAATGATATTTGCTCATGTCAGGAATAGGTTTTCATATTATTCTTCGAGGGAATGTTTTCGTCTACAATACTGTAACTTAACGGTAAAATTAATTAATTATTCCTGAAGACTACTTTTTTCATTACCCTTTGTTGGATCTGACAGTTGGGTTTACATTACATCTAAATTAAAAATGATCGAGATTATTATAAAATTCACTGGAACTAATGTGAACTCGACAATACGGTAACTACAGAAGGGCTTTGTGGAGATTTTAGAAATTTCACAGATTGAAATCATGAGTCAGTTGAAGCTAATGGTTTAGTGCTCGCGCGCGAAACCAGTAGGTCCTGGGTTCGAATCCCGCGGGGTCGTGGATGCGCACTGCTAAGGAGTCCCATACTAGGACGAAACGGCCGTCCAGTGCTTCCAGGTTTTCCATGGTGGTCTAGCTTCAACTGACTCTTGATTTCAATCTGTGAAATACGGTAACTGACACATAACTCATTAATACTAGTCTTCGAACGGTGAAACCAATGGTATTAACGAATCGAAAAAATAGCGAAAGTAATACGAAAATATGGATTCGAAAAAAAGTTTGAGCGTTGAATTATCTTAAAACGAAAAAACAATCAGAATTTATTAACAAAAATGAGATAATTCAAGATATTTCTAACACTCTTCATTTGTACCATAAAAGCATATGCATAAATTCGAGTCTTCTGATCTGTTGAACAATGTGTTAAGGAAATGCCTTCACTGTTTTCACATATCTTCACGTATAAAGTTGATTATTAAAAGCAAATCACTAATTGTATTTATGTATTGTTTTCTTTTTGCTGGTTTTTAGAATTTTAATGCTGCAACATCTTTTACCACCCCAAGCAATACAAGAAATTCGTCAAATATGGCAGGAAATGAATAGGCTTATTAAATGTGATTCAGAAATGTCTCTGAAATCGTCAGTTTCCACAATATCAGTTACTACTACTGCTGAAATTCCGAATTCTTCATCGCATAATGTGTCAAACGTCGTACGTGAAAATTTTGCTCGTCGAGTTCGACAAATTGTTAGACAGTATCTTGGGCCTAAAGCATTTATCACAGATAATTTACCTGAACCTCGGTCAGAAATAGATTCATGTTTTAAAACAGATGATATTGTAATGCTTCAATCGGACAATAATCAACAGTTGGGATTATCAACGTTGGACTATGATGAAAATGGTGAGTTCAATGATACATTTTATTTCGAATTATTATTATTTCAAGAAAAGAAAATCAATTCAGTATAAGAATGATTGTTTTACATGTATTTATGAATCCTATATCATAGATGTACTAGTGATATGTGATACTACATGAAATATCTCATTCGTTATCGGCAGCTACATCATGTAAAAACACTAGATTTAATGAGATCAATGAAATTAAGCAATATTGCCTACCGGTAAATAAAACTTAGGTTTTGCTACCATTATGTCTTATGTTTGAATCACACTTCATGTACTTTGGCATCATTCTAGCCGTTACATGCAAGTAAGTTTTGACTTAAAGTCGAATATAAAATTCCGTACTTAGTACATGGGTGTTGTAACTTGAACCTATATACATTAATACCCCAGGTCTTACATCATTACTTATGACTAATTAATGGATTGAATATCTCCATCATACTATTTATATGTTGAGTATCGCTGCTTTCTAATGGGCGTCCTTGTTTCTGTCATATTTAAGTTGCTATTCGCTTTTACTTGCTCAACTCGCCAATAAATTTCGATTAAATTTTCTTTCTACCCCGCGTATGCTACTACGTTTATAGTCTAGCGTCCTAAGACTTGATCAATAATACGTTCTAATTGATACGAATAACCTTGAGCTAAAGTAAACATCACTCCTATTGGTCCATTAATTCGAAATAATAAACCAGCAGCTTACCTTCTGTTCTCATATTTTAACCACCCAGCCTATATGTATGGATTATTGGGCCTCAGCCCGACAGTTGTTCCTACCTTGACGTGGTGGTCGGGCTTGACTATCGTGATGAAGCAATCGAGCTATACTGGCTGGAACAACCGTTCCTCAAGATCCTACCATGTCAGACAGGTCGGTTGAAGAGCGGTAAGACTAAAAGCAACAAACTGAAGGCCCGGAGGCGAAGTCGTACTGTTGACTGTGCAGAGGTGTGACAGCAGTAGGGTGTTTCCTTCAGACAACCAGCATGACAACGATGCTGCCTTCCCACAAGGAGGGGTGTGGTTAAAAAAGGTCGACCCTAAAAGTGCACACCTCACTTTATCCCATGAATATCCGTTTCCGACCGTAACGTCTCAATAAGTACGGAGTTAACAGGAAATTACTCATAAAAAGGTGTGTGACCGACCACAAGCAGTTGTTTCTTGGGCACTACGGTTACGCTCTCAGGTCACTAAGACCACCTCTAATCCAATTTACTTTTCAGGTACCTCCAGAACAACCCTTCCACGGTGTGGGCAACCGGGAAGTGATAACCACCCTCATAACTCTAACAGCACTTGAGACCACTGTATTCATAATCAACCTCCCTCTTAAATTCCTATTATTCCTCCTACATCGACTTTCCTTGGGCCTCAGCGCACCCCACATAAGGGATCACACTTTCCATACAATCATGCCATAAACGGCAATGAACGAAGCTAACAATACGTAATTAGTCAGTAATAATTAAGGAAATAATAAAACGTATGACAATAGTTAGTAGGTCTATAGGCAGCTCACAGTAAAGGGAATATATAAATACAATAATACAGTTATCTACTAACTATTAATTAAAAATATCGATGATAATAAACAGTAGATCATTACCAAAAACTAACTTTTCTTTAATATTCGCTCACCCACAACAATCTCCATTTTTATTAAGGATCAGTGTGTATTAAAATAAATCTCCTCATTAGGGGTTTTTTCACTGGCGTTTCGAGATTTTTAGATTGCCTACCGTTTATTCTATGGCATCGTTTCTATTCTCCTTGGTATTGTACTTACAAATGCTGTTTCTTTTCAATATAAAGAATAAGTATTATAAATAGTTAGTCCACCCTACATAGGCTGATAGTTAGCCAGTGGTATAGATCTTTAACTTGGCAGAAATATTTCGCATAATATTGGAAGTTGTCAAATAGTTAACAAATGTTTGTATCATCAATTTCAAGAAGATAGTAGTATAAAGTTTAACTATTTGACTTTTCTATATGTGGTAAACCTAGAAAAATACTTTTAATATTAATATTTTTGGTGGATTCAATAAATCATCCCGAAATAAAATCTAATTGTCATTAATTGAAATTCCCAACCAACCACACCGAATTGTGTTATTACTGACCACCTTGATCTCATTTTGGTAATACTATCCGGTTGACTAAACCACAGCAGATATAGTGGGATTTGGACATGCGGTTCTGTGTATACTAGTCGAATTCTCTAACCACCGAGTCACTTCCTCACAAGCCTAGAGAGTTTCCAACAGTTCGCACCTACGGTATCATCAGGGGTACACGGGCGACAAGCCTATTACTCTTAGTCAGTTTGATAATTTTCACCTAAATAGACACCTATTTGTGGTGATGATTGTTTTCTTGTTTTGTTTTTTTTTACTCCAAAGAAAAAAAATCAGCTTCCAATTCTGGCATCAACGTCATTGAAGGAACGAATGCTTCTTTTACTAGTCCTTTTATTCTGTCAACAATACCATGTACTAAGTCATTGTGCGCTAGTGTTGGTAGCAGTGATACAAAATCGTCTACCATTGAAATGTTTTCATCTGAAATAACAGACAAACTGTTTCGCAATGAAACCAATATTGTAGAAAGTAATTCAGGTGTATTATGTCCTAATGTTACTGCGACTTGTGTAACTTCATCTAAAATAAGTAACACAGGGAATACGGTAAGTTGGTTGTAATTGTTATGTTTGATTCAATTTGATTTCTTTAAAAATCGTCACAATCGGTTGATCACTAAATTATATCGACCAAATATCGTGTTTGTCTACTTTTTTAGTGATAGTCAAATTCTATTGAACAAGTTGTAACACAAACAGTGATCAGGTTAGTTCAAAAACGCGTTCGTAGTAGTTAAAAATGATCATCAGGACAGAAGCATCAGTTTCCCCAAGTTTGTAGGTACACCTTGTTAACGAGTCCCAACACCATTGGCCATGGATAGTTAACCTCCCACTACTTTCAACCATCTAAGACCTCGAAAAACGTTTTAACTTTATTGAATTTAGTGTATAGAATTCTTATTATGATAAAAGTGTTGTTTAAGTTTTTGCTCATATTAGTTTGTTTAAACTGCAGTAGTTGAAATCAGTCTACATAGTTCTAAAAATTATTAGCAATCCAGATAACGTTTCTTTGTAAGTGCCTTCGTGACTTGATTTTAATGAAAACGTAATTAGATAATGTCATAGAATTTGATCCATGAAATAGTGTTTTGCATAAATTTTTAGTGATGTGGATCGGATCAATTCGCTAGTCACTCACCTTCTGTTTTCACTTATTTCTATGTATTTTATTGTGGGGGTAATTTTTCTGTTAATTCCTACTACTAATTTTGAACATGATAAAAAGGTTTCGAACATGATCAGCATTTTAGCATGGAGTTGATTGTTCTTTGTCTACTCTTATTGTGTAAGTATTTACCACAGTTTCTTGTTTCTATCCACTGTTTTGCTAAAAGGTTCAGGAAATATCTGCATCTTGTAATGAAACTGTGAGTGATTCACCATTGACGTCATGCATAAAACAGACAGATGAACGGATTGTTTCACAATCACTTAATAATAATAACAACAACTTTAATAATAGTCTTTCTAGTGAAACTCCATACACATCATCTACTGGTAATTTACCGCGAGTATCAACTAATTCACAGTGTTGTATGCTTGAATGGTTATTGTCTGAAGAAGCTGATCTTTGCATATTACCAGCATCATTATGTCAGTCGAAAGTTGGAGATAAGCCACAGCAACAGTCAATCTCTGGAATCTCACCACCACCATCATCGTTCCACAGTCAGGTGATTTCACCAAGAGCATCATGTTGTATGGCATCTTCTAGTCAAACGCACAATTTTCAGTATGGTTCCCCTGTTTTGACAGAAGTTGCTTACAGCCCAATATCCATGTCCCAACAGAAAATTAATTCTGAACTACAAATTAATAATCGTTCATTATCTTCCAATAATAGTGGTTCATTGATTACAACGACTACTACTGTTGGTGCTGGTACTGTTACTTCGTCGGCGAATTTGTCTTATATTGAAATTCGATCTTCTCCGCAACCACGAACTGAGAGTTTATTAGTTGTAAGTGTTTAGTCGATTTGATATGTGTTTATTTTGGAATCTCTGTCTATCATATACTTGATAGTCATGCACTTAATCATATTTGTGTAGGTTTGCAAAATTTTCCCTCATGTTATTGTTATTCAGTGTTGAATGACTAATTAATCACATTCTATATTAGAATGCTGACCTCTTAAATGACCTACATTTATTCGTTAATTATATTTGGGATTAAAAAAAAGTAAACATGAATTTTCATGAAATTAGTTCCCTTTATGAATTTAAATAAAGCCAGAACAAATATTGATGCAGAATAATATAAATTCATTATATTTCGTAGTTTCTCATCAGCTGCTTACAACCACTGTTATATATTAGAATTTCACATTGAGATAAGAAATAGTCTGAAACAATTGACATAAGTGAATGTAAAGGATTGGAAAGACAAAGGTTATCAATGATAACTATATATATATGCAAGAACAGGTCAGAGGCTATTAAGTGTTAGAATCAAGTGGTGGAGTTCAGAGACAGATAAGATAAATTGTGTGGTAAATTTTAGAAGTAATAAAAGATTCATGGAATTAAAAACTGATAAGATTGGTTACGTAATAATTGAATAGCATTTGAAGTGTCCACATAATTTAAGAGAATCAAGTGAGCGGCGATGTGTAAATGATAGGGTAATCGGGGGGGGGGGGAAATATAACACAAACTAAATATTAACAAAATAAAACTAATATGCAAAAACAAAGAAAAAGCAGTAAACACACAAAAAATGGATTACCAAGGTAGTAATAGATTTATTACTGTCTGGTTTTGAATACATAGATCCTCTTTAAGTTTTTTTTATCGCGATCGCTTCATCAAAACAGAGAGCAGCCATACTTCTTTGTCTGCTAATAATTTTAAAAACATGAGAGATGTCAATGGTATGTCCGATGTCAAGTAAATGCCAAGCTATTGCACTGTTGAGAGCCCTAGTTCATCGCAGCCTCAATTTCTTTGGAACATGCTCAGAAATGCGAACATGTAATCTCCTCTCGACTCTTCCAATGTATGTGCTTTGGCACATACATGTAAATTGGTAAATGCAGTTGGAGCTACTGAGAAAAGAGAACTTGTCGGCTTTAGAAGCTGACGAGGAACCACGAAATGTAATGAATGCATATTATTCTGCATCAATATTTGTTCTTGGTTTATTTAAAAACATGAATTCTACTGGTTTTGGAATTCACCAATTAAATGTGATTAAATGTAATATACTGTCGATATTTACACTTTATTAATAAATAAATTAAATTCGTTGTAACTTGTTTATCAAAATACACAATTATCTATTCGGCTTAAAGTTCAACACTTTGTACAATTTGACAATACTATTCATCTAATTGAACTACATTAGATATATCCGTATGGTATTAGATCCTGCAAATAATTGATTCAACATTGAATGTTTCAACATGGTAAACCCTATCATATATTCTTCCTTTCATCATTATCATCTAAATTTTAACTTGATAATTCCTAATGAAGATTATCAATTGTACAATGGATTAATTTATCGTTTTCCAATTCAACGCGTTGTATGCGTATATATATAATACATCCAATTTTCAATTATTATTATTATTATTATTATTATTATTATTATTATTATTATTATTATTATTATTATTATTATTATTCAGTGTATAGAAATAACCACCACATTAATTGTCATTTACTTCTTGCACAATATTTATCTGAAAAACTCAACCGTATAAATATTGTGTATAGTGAGCATTTAGATTTGGTCTATTTAATAGAAAAACAGAACATACCATATATATATATATATATATATATATATATATATATATATATATAATTAAAAGTGTAAAGAGAGCTACTACTGTCTAGTGGTTGGATTTTACGATAATTTGCAATTATTAAGTTGCAGTTTTGAATCTTGCTATTTCATCTACATCGATTTGAACAAGTGTATAACTCGAAACCGAGTACATCTATCATGTTCTATCAATAAAAGGACGAGTATAGTGCGCGGCAGTCCGTTCTGTTTTAATTTACGGCAGCGAACCATGGCCATTAAGAGTAGAAGACACTCGTAAGCTACTAGTGTTTGACCACAGATGCCTTAGAAATATTGCTGGCGTCTGCTGGGATCACCGTGTAAGTAATAGTGAGGTTAGACATAGGGTATTAGGGAATTATGGTAAATCAGTTGATGAGGTTGTGAATCTTCATCGACTGAGATGGTTGGGCCACGTGTTACGCATGCCCGAACACCGATTACCACGACGTGCAATGCTAACCGGTGTAGGGGATGGTTGGAAGAAAGTTAGGGGTGGCCAAACCAAAACGTGGCATCAGTGCCTGAAGTCACTAACTTCTAGTCTGAGCCATGTTGGTAGATGCGGACTACTTGGTTGGAGTCCACGTGACTGTCGTAACCAATGGTTGGAGACTCTTGGTGACATGGCTCAGAATCGATCACGATGGCGTCGGTGTATACACTCTTTGTCTTCCCTTAAACTAAGAGATTAAAATCGCTTCATATCTTTCTTTCTACGAACTAATTCTTTCTTTTTGTACTATATCCTTATTGCAATCTTTCTTTTGTATATTGGCACCTCTAAATTAACTACTTTTATGAATCCGGTGTTCATTTTGTTGTGTTAATGAGGTATGACAACTTGGACCGATGCATAAATGTGCCTGGTCCTACGTTGTAGCTGACATGACTGACATCTATCATGTTCCGTGTATAATACAGTATAAATAACCTTACTATCTTAGATAATTTTTCGACACCCCCTTACCTTTCAATAGATTACTACCTGTAAAAAAAAACCTACCTAGAAATAAAATTGTACAGTTTCAGAAAATAATATTATCAAAAAGAAAATTTCTTTCATTGAAAAGTTTTTATTGTTTTTTTTTAATATGGAATTTTTTCCAATCTTAAAACTGTGTAAGTAATCTTTTGAGTCATTGAGCAAAAAGAAAAAAAGTGACAGTTCAACGAAGAAATTATTCCTTTGTGATTAGTATCATATACTGTTGAAATTGTACAATCGTACTTATAATAATAATAATAATAATAAAGATAATTTTTTATATATAATAGTTCATAGTAAGATGGGAAGTATTGTGTCAATAACGAATTTATCACACATTTTCTAGTATAGAATATTAGTTACATAATGTTAATAATTATTCAGAATGGTATTCAATAACCGTAATGGGAGAATTATATATGCAAAAAGTGACCTCATCTCCATCTGTTCACGTGATAAATATAAACAGGATTAAAAAGAAACTTATATGTACACGTCTTATTAATAATTTTTAAAATTAAGTATGGAGAAGATTTGTAGCTCAGGTGGATGATTTTGATGGAGTTTTGCTCTCTGAGCTGGATGGTCTGGTCGTGGAGCTTTCATCATTCTTCTGAACGACATCATCAGCACAGACTTCAATCAATCCAATTTATCAACTAATCAGGAAAATCATGCAGAAATATAGGAACAAAAATCAAACCAATGGGAGACACAACCAAGACATAGAAGTGAACAATGATAAATTTAAGGTCAATAAGAATCAATCAACATCGAGGTGAACAGAACAAGCTGTGGAACACATGGAGAAATTCGAACACTTCACTTCTATCTGAAGTTTGTGCTAATGATGTCGTTCAGAAGAACGATGAAAGCTCTACGACCAAACTATCCAGCTCAGAGAACAGAACTCCACCAAAATTAAGTGTGTTGATGAAGACTAGACGAATAAGTGATTGTGTTTGTCACTTTTGATCAAATAATTCAGTTAGTCATAATCAATGTATAGCATGGCACAAATATGAGTCAATCCTAGTTGCTATATCACATCAGGAAAATAAGATGTACTTAACGAACTGAAGAGTAAAATTGTCGAAATAATACAAGTTTCAGTCGTAATGAGAAAGACTAACGCAGTGAGTATTATTCAAAAAATTCTCAGGTACTTATTGTACAAGATAATTCTAAGCTCACCCGTGTACAATGTCTTCTTTGACTGTTGGTTTTTCAAGAATTTTGCTACCATATCTCCTTTTGAATTCAATATTCATGAATATCTTCGGCACTGTAGGAGTCCTTTCCTTCCTTAGCTTGAGGTTCTTCCCTATCAATAAACCTGGTATGAGTACCATTTTCCTCAAATGTTTGTTGGATTTTATTGAACAAATTATCAATTGTGTCCTCGTGCATACACATTTAAGTCTCGTGGATAAAGAGTATGTACTTATTATCTATTCCTCTTGAGTAGAATTCGACCTTAAAGTTTGTACACTTATTCTCGGTTTGTCTTGCATAGAAAATGCCTCTTAGTCTTTGTCTCAACAAAATATCAAAATAATAAAATTCTGAGTTCATATTTGAGTCCAGTATACACACGTGACTTATTGTAAACTTCTGTAGGATACTATTAATATTATTTAAGTCTGTCATATTTCTATGCTATTTGTATGTATTCTATCAATAATCGAATTTGTCGATTATGTAAGTCAAAGAATTATGTTATAGTCAGTCATCTACAACGTAGGACTAGGTACATAAATGCATCGGTACAAGCTACCATTGATGTAACTGCTTCTATGAGTTTGTTGTTCATCTTGTTGTGCTAATTAGGCATGACAACTTGGAGCAGTGCATATATGTACTTGGTCCTACGTGAAACATTATGAACTTCTATTTGTTACTTTAAATTTCTTGACAAATTTTTAAAAATAAATGATACTGTAACTTTTCCTTATATTTAACATAGACAACTTTATATTATTTATAAACTATCAGTATTTGTATATCCTTATGTTATAACTTGTGACCGCCGATTAATGTGCAGTGACTTATCGATCAGATCAATGACACATAATACACATGTGAGCGGCCTGGAGTCCTGATTGGTCCTGCTCTCCGCCTAGCCCAGCCAGTTATGTCCAGTATTATTCATGCCCCTTTTTTTCCTCTTTCCAAATTTATTTCACTGAATTATACTCTTTAAATAACATCTCCAAACCCTAATCTTCCCGATTACTGTTTATACTCTTACTACTTCTTTGCCAAACTGTACTCATTTTATTAGTTAGTTTATTAAGAAAATGAGTAAGTGTGTCTGAGAGAGCGAGCGAAATGTAGGTTTAGCTTATAATGGATACACTGTAAACAACTTATTTCGCTTTTCCTAATATCGATCTAATTTAATTATTATTATTATCCTAAAATATATTATTGACTGAATTCCGATTTATTTTTTATTTCTATTCTCTTTTTTTACTAACAGCGTTTACTGCATCCAGCAAAAAATCACTCTGTTGGGCATCATACAGATATAAATACTTATGATGGAGGAGTAAGTCATTACCACTTCCAATATAATCTGTCAATTGAGTATTTTCATAAAATTAATTGATTTCTGTCTCGTGTTGATTCTGTCAAAGTTTAGTTCAAAGAGTTTGATTTTAATTCGCCATGGATTGATCTCATCTAGGATGTTATCAAAGTTTAAGGAGCACTGGATAACTGCTCACTCATGACCCTGACTGGATCAGACCGAGTGTCCTGACAACGAACTCTTGACAATCAGAACCATTATATTGGGACGATTCACGTGTCCATTTCTCTTTAGTTTTTTACTATACACATCTCAATATTTAGAGGAAACCAAACAATGACTACAATTGGTTTTTACATAATTCAAGTTTTCAGCTATTAGTTACTACTACTGTATACGCACATTAGCGCAGGAGGTATACATCTCTCTACTGACTTGACTGATAACAGTCCATGATGTCATGAATCGATACTATGTCTAACATTCTTCTAACCTACTTTTACACTAGCCAGAATAACTGCTCGTCCATAGAAAGTTTCATTAATTAACCTGATTCTTTCAACACCAACCCTGGTTTAAACTTCTGCATTGAAATAATGCGTTGGTGTATGTATGCTTATCTTTACTTGTAATAGTATTTTAGACATGAGAATTAAACAGTTAATTGTTTTACATTTTCAGTGCAAAAATTCTACAATTGTATTTTAGAACAGACTTTTTGGTGAGGTCTAGCCAGCATTTCTATACCATACACTTAACGTTTTGTATTTTGATGAAATCAAATATAGGACAGACTGATGAAATTTAAAACATATTATTTGGAAATTAATTTAGAATGATAAATAGTGTTGTTTTATGTTGGCAATAGTGTTATAGTGATATACGTAAATGGACCTTCAATAAGTATTTCATGAATATTTTTATTTATTTTAGCATTTACTGAAGTTATCCTCTCCAACATTACCACGATCTGTAGCTGTGACCTCTCAATTTGTGCCAGATACAACTGATTTAAACACTTCTAACATAGTTACAAACACTGGATCTGACATCAATAATGTACAACGACAACTAAACAATCGACAACCGGAATGTCGATTAATCGCTGTTTCTCTAGATAATCTGTGCAACAATCAACCTACGACAAATACTAGTAAACGATGTCGTAGTGGTCCTGCAACTACACAATCAATTTCATCGTCATTCAGTTCACATATATCACCCGGTAATAAACGAACTCGACATGCTTCACAATTTGAGGAAGTTCCTCCGCCTAGCACAAGAAAAAATTCTGGTATATCTGAAGCTCAACATAATTCAGATGTAATTCCTAGTCCACCTTTCACGTCATTGACACAACTTCTTTTGCAAGATTTTCCATTAGTTTCCGATATAATATCGTATTCTTCAGTGGATTCTCCTAAATATACTTCTTCATTTGGACAAAATGATTATCATTGTAAATCTACTAAATCTTTTTCAAATACACATGGATATGAAAATCTTCAATGTAACATGACAACTTCACATGACAGAAACAAAATAATCAGTTCGAATATTTCACAAAGTGACTATTGTCTTTCGACAAATCCACCTTCTATGATAACAAGTGAAAAATGTACGAGAAATCAAGGTATTCATTGAAATTTTTTAATATATTTATTACTGTTATATGATTCACATCATTGTGATAATTGAATTGTCTAATTCATTGTATCGTTCTATTTCTTTTCATGATTTTATTTGAAAACGTCTATCTAGAGTGTGTTAATTACATATCAGATAATCGATTCCTGATGAACAATATGATGAAATGTTATAAATTAAGCCTTAATGACAGCTAACTATTTAATTATTTCATACTTTTCCAATGGTTGTCTAGTTAAAGTCAGTCTGTGATTGTACATTCTGTATAGTCAACTAACTATTCAACATTAAACAGAGTCGATAGATTTTTAAGCATTTCATTCTTACTGACTTTTGTCGTAGAGTATTACTATGGTTGCTGTTATTCTTAATCCTACATTAATGATTTTAAGTGATTATTATTATTTCTATTGAGTACTTAGAAAGGTTAACATTTTAATCATTATATTGAATTATATTGGTTTATTGACAATACAATATTTGTACTTGTATGACATTTCACTTTACTTATATTTACTATAATAGGCCTATTCATCAATTCAAATAATATTGCTTTCAGTAAACATATATCATCTTCTTCTGATCATCAACCTAATGATGAAAATACATTGTCAACATTTTCCTGGTCAACATTATCACCTAGTTCTAATGTAAAATCTAAATTTGAAAGTAAAGATAAATATCTTGTAAAAACAAGCAAAGATTCAGAGAATAATTCCACCAGTAATTTAATACCTGGACAATCTAGTATATGTCAGTTATTATTAGATGCACAATTGGAACCAGAAGAAATATCAGATGCTGTGGCTAATGTTCAAAATTATTCAAACTTATCATTTAATCGTAATACTTTGTCCACGATTAACAAATGTAAAGAAGAAGGCAGTGATGATGATATGTCATCTTTTAAAATTAAGTAAGTTAGTTTGTAACACTGTTGTATACTTAGTTCTCATGATGATGATGAGGATGATGATGATGATGATCATCATCATCCTCATCATATATAGTGTACTCAGAGTATTAATTGTTTATATGTCATATATTCTTCCATTTTATTCATGTTGTTTCATAGTTTTATAATTCAAATCAATACAAATTGAAATATTCGATTTAAAGTGAAATGAATAAAATTATGAAAGTGGGAAAAAATAGTATGCAATATTACTATAAACAACAAGATGTACGGCAAAATCAAAATCGACACTGATCATTTTCGATCTATGTCACATGAACATTGTGATGTATGGAATCTGAGCTAGAGAATGTTTTCAATTATATATATATTTTTCTGATCGCTATTGTTATATATCTCTTTCTTCTTACGGTTATGACCCAGCTATTCCTATTGCTTAGTATTCCTGGACACCGATTCACTCGACAAGACCCCAAATCAGAACACGATTGAACAGGAAGAGAGATTATATTCCAAATAACAAGGTTAGTTGAAAGCAAAATGCAAGCCAGAAGCACAATAGGGGAAAACGTCGGTATATTTATAGTTTTTACATAAGAAAATTCCAGAATATTCTCCGACTATCGACTAGTGCTGATTGGATAAGAATTAGCCAATCAGCGTGCACCAAAGCAACCATGCATTGAGCATGCTTTAATCTAGTCTATGTCCCGCTAACACCTCCCCTCTGAGCAGATTCGTAGGATCTGGTGCTAGGGTCCAACTGCAACTGAGTGACTGGCTTGTGCTCTCGATTAGTGCATCGTCTAGGCAATAAATTATCACTTTTTTCTAGCACAGAGACTGACATGTCTGTTCCCGGCGTTTTGATATCAAAGGTGTCTAGCAGAACATCAAGAGGTAATCGATATTGAATCTTGTTGCTGGCTATCAAGGTTGCTTTCAATTGGTTAGCATGACGTACCCAAACTTCCGAGCCAACTGACACCTCGTAAACCACACTCCCCTTCTTTTTCAAGATCCGACCAGCTGTCCATGTAGGATGTTTCCCACGATAGTCCATAGCAAGCACTTTTTGTCCCACCGTGAACAATCGTCTTTGTGCCCCATGATGTCGGTTAAACTGATTCTCCATCGATAGGTTTCGTTGGGGTTCAATAACTGGCGTAGGACGGATGACATCGAAATGTGTTCGTATCTTTCTGCCAAGTAGAGCTTCTGCTGGAGAGACCCCGTTACTTATCTGAGGGTTCGGTCCTATTATTTGTAACTTGGAGATATAAGGATCCGACATTGTTTCGGGGAGGAGGAGAATGTTGGAGAATTAAAAGTTATGCATACTTTTATTTTTAAAAAAAATCAAAACGCCGGGAACAGACATGTCAGTCTCTGTGCTAGAAAAAAGTGATAATTTATTGCCTAGACGATGCACTAATCGAGAGCACAAGCCAGTCACTCAGTTGCAGTTGGACCCTAGCACCAGATCCTACGAATCTGCTCAGAGGGGAGGTGTTAGCGGGACATAGACTAGATTAAAGCATGCTCAATGCATGGTTGCTTTGGTGCACGCTGATTGGCTAATTCTTATCCAATCAGCACTAGTCGTTAGTTGGAGAATACTCTGGAATCTTCTTATGTAAAAACTATAAATTTACTGACGTTTTTCCCTATTGTGCTTCTGGCTTGCATTTTGCTTTCAACTAACCTTGTTATTTGGAATATAATCTCTCTTCCTGTTCAATCGTGTTCTGATTTGGGGTCTTGTCGAGTGAATCGGTGTCCAGGAATACTAAGCAATAGGAATAGCTGGGTCATAACCGTAAGAAGAAAGAGATTATAATAACTATTAAGCAAAGATAGTAAATAGATTGATAAGTCTGTGAGTCTCCAGCTGTCAAAGTGTTTGGATTATGTTCCTATCTTTTTAATGCGCAGTTTAAGGGTTGTTGAGGATAACTCACACTGAAGTTCAATGTATTCTTTTTAAAGCTGGTCGGGCTTAAGAAGGTCGATCCCTTGGTAACCGTTTAAGGGAGTTATGCGAGACAAAGCAGCTGCAACTATATTTTATAGCCCCCAAAATGTGCTGTATATCTAGAGTAAACTGCGAAATGTAGTCCAGTTGTCGAGATTCTCGAGAGCAGTACTTGTTTGAAGATGAGCTAAGGGGAGTGAGAGTGAATTTTCAACCTTCCATAGAGTGCCGAGAGTGCTGTACAGTATAATACATGGCTAGGAGTTCCCTATCGAAGGTACTGTACCTCGATTCACTTTCTTGCAACTATCTATGAAAGAATGCTTAAGATTGCCAGGTGTCGTTAACTCACTGTAGTAAGACTCTTTTGATTGCCGAGTCGGATGAATTTACTGTGATACTGGTGCGTGCTTGGATATCTTATCGTGGGAGCATGGTTGCATTTGCGATAAGTTCTCTAATTTTGTAGAACGGTTTTCTCGCGATATCGACCAAATTGGTGGATTTCGCATTCCTACGAAATTGTTCGTTTAGAGGTTGGTCGTTCATTGTGGTTTGGTATGTGACAAAATCTCAGCACGGATACACAGGGCTCGACTAGCTTTTGTCAACTTGAGACATTTATGGCGTAGGCGAGATATCCGTCTATCAACCAAAGGACGTGTTTACTGCACAGCAGTTCGTTCCATCTTAATTTATGGCAGTGAAACATGGCCGGTGAGAGTAGAGGATATTCGTAGGTTACTAGTGTTCGATCATAGGTGTCTTCGAAGCATTCCTCATATATCCTGGGACCATCGAGTAATTATTACATTTGTTAGGAAACGTGTACTAGATAAGGATGGCAAATTAATTGACGAAGTAGTGAAACTTCAAGTGGACTGAGTGAGTCATGTTGGTAGGTGTAGATTACTTGGTTGGCGAACACGAGATGATAGTAAACGATGGTTAGAGACCCTGAATGACATGGCTCAAAATCGTTTGCAATGGCTCAGGTGTATTCACTCTTTGTGTTCTCCCAAATTCTAATCTTCTGAATTCTTGATATCCGTTTTCTTTTACTCTTTCCAAATTTATTTCACTGGATTATACTCTTTAAATAACATCTCCAAACCTTAATGTTTACGATTACTGCTTATACTCTTACTATCTCTACCACTACGGGATTTGAGTCGACAATTGTTTCTGTGTGCGTTCAGATGTAAAACAGTTTATTCAGTATTTCGAGATAGAAGATTAGATTTTTCCAAGTTACTTCTTGTATAAAGGGTCAAGTCCTAGCTCTGAGTACGTTTGAATTTGTAGTTTAAATGTTATCAATTTCAACAATAAGAAGTGTAAAGCATCGATAGACAGATTCCAACGTACGATCACCCCTTAATCGAACACTACTCAAAATAAAAGCGCAGTATTTTAGAAGCGGTCGTGTACATACTTTGTACATTAAGATACGTTGGTCACTGTTACATTACGTAGTAAACAATTCAAAATCATCAAGATAACACAGTCTGTGTTTGAGACATGTCCTAAGAAGTCTAGATTGTTATGATATCGGAACCCTTAACCACTATATTAAACTAAGATAATACTTTTTTATGGTGTAACCAAAATTGAGAAAATGGTTATGAAAGCAGATTCATCCACATTTAACAGAGATAAATTTCGATTTCCATTTTGCGCACCAAAAATACAAGCTTGTTGAGCGCTATATAGACACAATTTTTTTATGAATAAACTCATAAGTAGAAAACAAATTCGCTCTCTTAAGATTATCGGCATACAGAAAAGGTGTACTATTGCCAAAGGAATGTGAGATATCGTTCATATAGGTTATTAAGAGAAAATGACTAATCTTTCTCACTATCGTTGCTATTACATTGTTTCCATTTCTTCGCTATTCACCTTGTTAATTTCATCTTGGCGTGCTAATGTGGTATAGTAACTTGGACGAACGTACGTTTGTGCCAGTTTTTACATCGATTGATTGATTCCAAACTACCTGGTTGGGTTCCACACTATCCGCCATTTATACTACTTTTAATACTATGACAGTCATCTTAATAATTTCATCTGGCTGTGTTATGGCAACTTGGGAGTAGTACACATACATTCCAGGTTTTACCTTGGTTCTTATTGACTGACTACTGATTGCGCAAGCCCTTTCTTAGGTAGTTGTTCAATATCACTAATCTTAACCATAATGACAATCTTAATTGGGCACTTTAATCCACAATTTATGCTAAATTATTTTTAATAGTGGAAGAACATATCTGCGGTTTTGCGAAGAACTATGGCTTCTCATTGTATTTAAATCCCTATCACATTCAGTTACGGTACGAAGTTATTTGAATCTCGAGTAGCGTTCTATATGACTGCGTCGATTCCACTAATCTGTCACTGAATTGTATTAAATGCAATTTTGTCTTCCCTTCATTACTGATCAATTTTTACTTACCTAGTTTAACATATCAAAGCAGAAGAAGCAGATATCATAGTTTAGTATTGCAAAAAAAACTAAGATCCTATTAAAATAATTGAAGAATTGAAGGGGAAAAGAAGACCCTTTTTCATTTTTCAATGGGTAACCACATAATATGTCACTAGTTCTTATAATCAAAAATATCTGAGTACATAGACTTAGATCACAGATGCCTTGGAAATATTGCTCGCATGTTCTGGGATCATCGGGTAAGTAATAGTGAGGTTAGGCCCAGGGTATTAGGGAATGGTAGTAAATCAGTTGATGAGGTTGTGAATCTTCATCGACTGAGATGGTTAGACCACGTATTACGCATGCCCCACCACCGATTACCACGACGCGCAATGCTGTCTCGTGTTGGGGATGGTTAGAATAAAGTTAGGGTGGCCAAATCAAAACGTGGCATCTATGCTTGAAGTCACTAACTTCTGGTCTGGGCCACTTTGGTAGATGCGGACTACTTGGTTGGGTCCGCGTGACTATCATAATCAATGGTTGGAGACTGTGGGTGACATGGCTCGGAATCGGTCACAATGGCGTCGGTGTATACACTCTCTGTCTTCCTTTAAACTAAGAGATTAAAATAGCTCCATATCTTTCTTTCTACGAACTAATTCTTTGTTTCTGTACTATATCCTTATATGCAATCTTTCTTTTATATATTAGCACCACTGAATTAACTACTGTGAATCGGGTGTTCATCTTGTTGTGTTAATGAGGTATGACAACTTGAACCGATACATATATGTGCCTCCGTTGTAGCTGACTGACTGATCAGACAAATGAGTTTTATTCTATTGCCGTCTAGTATTCCTGAACCACAATACTTTTCTGTACTCTTTCCAAGTCGAAACCAAAATGTAAAACTAACAATGTATCTTTCAATAACCTGCACAATAGAAGACCCTATAGCAAGGGTATTAGAATTCATACATAAGATGTCTCAGTCAATTCGCGGGAGCTAATTATTTAAAAAAGGACCAATCAATGTATTCTGATTTAAGCCTAATCAGAACATTCAATATTCAAGATTCTATCCTGATAACATCTTATTATGGTTATTATTCCTTCATTATCTCATAATTTAACGGATGATTAAGCAGATATATTGGATGCAGAGCGACTGTAACTTGATAGTAGTGAGAAATGTGTGATTTTCCAGATCATCGTAGAAGTGGGAAAAGAAAACCATTTCCTTTCTACACTATATGATAATTGATTTGTAATTCAGTAAAGTTGCTAGGTGCATTCTGATATGACTTTATGTCTGGCTTTCTATCACGTGATTTATCCAACAATCAAAATACGACTTATAAAATCTTAGCACTGTGCCAAACCAATGACGTTTGACCGGTATGGGCAACCTAGCGTCCTTATTGGTTCTACGTCCGCCTAGCCCGTCCACTTGAATTCAGAACACCAATACCAGCTTCCACTATGCGAATCGAATCGAATCATTTATTTCACACATATTGGGGTTTATATATCAATCAAACAGACCGCAACGCACCATAAAATAGGAAATAACATTTGTACACAAAGCCAATAGGTGACTGTGAACGTGGGAGGCAGTAGTTAATAAACTGAACCTAACTTAAGAACCGTAAATCGTACAATAATAATATAGAGGTCAAAATAAAGCTTATCATAAGAGGAATATAAATATACATAATCTAATTATTGAATAGTTATACCATAAGAATGTATAGATAATATTAGTCAATTAATATGTCTTAGAAGTTACTCGTGATTTAATCTTCGCTCGGATCTAACACAATCTAAGTAACTAAATTCCTCATAATTTATGATATAATGTGATTCATTGGTAGAACTTGTGATACTATACAACAATTGCTTAAACCGAAATATGGGGACTAAGGTGTTTGAATCATCAAAACATCTTTTCATTATTTTTAGTATGGTAAACAAGTGTCTTGTTTCATAAGATATTTCAACCTATCTATACTATTCTAATTCGGTCTTGATTCCCTTCTATTTTTAAAAGCTTACAAATCACATCGATTGCCGATGACAACCAATCTCCCAGTAGATTACTTGCTAGTACTTCTACTACTACTACTACTAGTAGTTGTTGTTGTGGAGGGTTATCTTCTACTGATCTTACTGACAACTGTCCGTCAATACAACTACCGCCACCACCATCGTCATATTCAATAGCTCCAGTCGAATGGAATGATGATGATCTACAACAGTTAATCCATGAAGCAATAACTAATCCTAATGATGCTCTAATAGAAGAGAATAAACGCAATACATGTTCATCATGTTCTTCATCTTTAGATCTACCCAAACGACATCCATCCACTTCATCGAAAGAGATATCAGAAGAAGTGGAAATTTTATGTGAGATATTACGACGAGATGAATTAGAAAGAAATAATAAAAATGCTGAATATTGTCATCCTAATCAATGTGATGCTACTACTGCTGTTACTACTACTTCTACGATCAATACTTCTATTATTTCTAGTACAGAAGCTGGTAATAATAATCCATTGCCATATCTAAGTGAATCACCCAGTTCTAAAAGGTCGAGATTCTCTTCATCCACATCGATATCTGATCATCAAATCGATAATACTGGTGATAATAATATGGCTAGTGTTGATGATGATTTTGTTCATCGAGATGAAGTTAATTGGCAAAATGATGCTAAGGCTGTTGCCCGTATCTGTGAACAATTACAACAGGGTCTAGTTACGGAAAAGTTGCCAGTCACATCATCAAATAATGATAGTAACAACGGTACTGTAACAGAATATCCTGGATATTCTGTAAAAATCAATGATCATAATAATAGTAGTACTTCTGTACTATCCAGTAATATTCCTGATTATTCAATTTCGCGAAACGATATAATAGTGCCAGATCTAGGTAATTTGTTGTATTCTTGTAGATGTAATATATTTTGATCATTTTCAGGGAGTTTTTGTTGAATATTTTGATCGTTAACATGGAATGATTGTAGAAGTGTGCAGACAATTGTTATATCCCAGTTTCCCACATTGTGAAAATATACCTTGAGGTACTTGATAAGTAAACTAAACCACAGAAAGAAAACAACTGATCGAGACCGGTCACATACGGCATTTTTATTAATGGTTCTTTATGTTTTAGCTCGATATCGCAAAGGTCTTACTCCCGAGGTCCATGTAGTAATAAGATGAGGTTTGAGGTTTTTATGAAGTCGACCTGTTCTAAACTCCTCTTTTCGTTGTCAGGAGATAACGTCACTCCAGATTATGGTTATCTGAGAAAAACCCTTTACTCCCATCATATTATAGTGTCTGGTACTAAGTCGAACCCACATGATTTATTCTAGCTTCCGGACAGACTAGTTTATACATTCTTCTCAAGCCACTTATTCTCTTTTTAATACTGTTTTATATGAGCGTATGTGTGTTAAGTGCTTACCCTGTTCATTACGTGCTTGTAACTTATTTTTGTCTGATTATAAATGTTGAGTTACTCTTCGTCGAATCGGGTTGACTCACTCGCCTTCTCCGATCCGCTTCTGTTCGCTTTCCCGTTTCTTATTATAAATGTCTGTCTAGATAAACGAATGTTTGGAATAAATTCCTCCAATGCAACCCTTATTTAGCTTATATTACCACCGTCACACAAACGGGGTTAGCTTAGATAATATATGGAGTTAAATGAAAGATTTATGTTCACAACATATTCATACGTTCATCCAAATTGGAGTCAGATCAATGGGCTACAAAAAATATCACAGTGCAGTCGTGTGTACAGATTTGCCGTTGATTCTAATTTGGCACTATTAAGTTATTCAGATTATCATGGTTTAACCCTAAAAAAAAACAAACGTCCTAGTTATTATAGATAATTTGGGTCATTTCGATGTGCTAGCTTGACCACCACGTCATATCAATAGCTATGGCTAGGTACGTCTTTACATTCTGTCCAAAACGTTTATTGTCTTTCTACGCAATACACTGTCTGAAGTTGGGTCATTGGAATTGAATTTAGTTGTGTTATGGAGGACCGTATTATTGACTTGAGCTCCTGAATTATTAAAAATTAAAACCAAGACCACCAACCAAAATGACTCGTTTTTATGAAATAACATACATTCAAAATACAGACATGCCCTCAAATGTCATAGTACGTCCGAGAGTGGGGAGAGAGTCAGCTCTCCCTCTCGAAATGCTCTCACATGGCCACGTGCATACAACCACTGAGAAGGAAGCCCTACTCACTGTCTTCTAGTGGCAGGAGTGTTGTTTACGAAATCGAGAGGACGAAAAGCGAATGTCCGGTGCTTTATCTGGGTTGGTGGTGGTGTACAGAAAATCCACCTAGGGGAGTTGGAAAATCCTGATTGCAAACCAATGGTGTATATGGGCTCCAGGATCGTGAGGAAACAAAAGGCGTATTAAAAAATTATTGGTCACCGTTTAACATGGGACTGGATCTCCTAACGTTGTTTCACTGTCTTGTGGATTAGAGATTTAGGTCAAAGACTTCAGTTGTGACCCTTAAGGAAACCATCTGCTTCGTTTTGGGGACCCGGGGAGTATCACATCCCACACACAAATCAAATGACTTATGTGGCGCATATGTATTTGATGGCGCTTTGTAAAAATATTTGTGTTCAAATAAATAAATATATAAGTACAAGCCTAAAGATAAACATAACGTGTTAAGGATGACCCGAAGGAATAAACTTGTAGTTTATCCATTCTTCGATCCATTAAGATTTGATTGTTAGGCATGATCTTTGGGCAAGATATCGAGTTAATGGAATGCACATCTGTTTTAGGCCACCTCTTGTTACCATCAATTGTCCTTCTAATTGATTCTCCATATCATCTACCATCACATAATTTGCTTTATTCTTATGTAAAATCACATTCAAGAAGGTCGTATATCTACATGATTCAGTGACATGCAATGCCTACTGAGATTGCACATTCTTACGATATCAATGGACAAAATTATCAAATGTAATTCAAAGTAGATCATCAAACTGTTTAAAACACATTTAATAATGAATCCTTTATTGACCTCTGGAGTCAGAAAATTCAGTAGCAATGCTTATTAATTATCTTAGTTGACAGAGAAAATAAGAACTTTAGAATCTCAAAATTTCTCAGTGTGTATCGTCAGTTATTCATTTATCAAGCATAGGTTTATGTACTCAACTTTAACCTTTACTCTATTCATAAGGAGGACTAATGATACAAATCTGTTTCCAAAGGCAAAGATTGATTGGATAGTGTTCGAAACTGACTTTTGCATTGAGAATTGAATGCTCTAAGCTTATTATTAATTGTCCTAAGAAATAATTATGCATAATAATAATAATAATAATAATAATAATAATAATAATAATAATAATAATAATAATAATAATAATAATAATAATAATTACCCCAACATAAATTCATTATAGTTCTGACTGTTGCTTTTGTTCTAAAACACAATGAAACTTGTTAAATTGTCTGATGTTAATTTTACTTTTAGTAGTTGTACTATTCCAAATTGTTTAAATCTCATGCTAATTTTAATGTTTGATTGTTATTGTCATTTAAATGAAATACTATGCACTTTGATTTATGTACACAGATAGAGATAAATAGCATAATATTTCTCTTTTTTTTTTCTTTCCTAGTAGGTATTTGGTATCTTTTATAAAGTACAATTAATTCTATTGACGTTTTTCGTTTGTTGACTAGAAATTGATTTTTTGTTGTTGTTCTTGTTGTAAATTTACCTTTTATCCTATGATTGTTTCTTTTTTTTTGTTCTAAAAATTAACAAATTTAAGATGATTTCTTTCTTTCTTTCTTTATTATTTGTATAAATAGCAATGACTAATTTAATGACTACAACTTGTACAACATGGTCAAGTTATTCACCTCAGACAACAAGTGGTAGTGGGCATAATATACTACGACGTAATAATAGTGGAAACAATAATAATAATAATAATAATAATAATAATAATAATAATAATAATAATAGTAGTAGTAGTAGTGGTGTTATTGCTACTACTACCACTACTATTACGAATGTTGTGAATAGAGCTGCTGTGGCTGCCGCATTAGCTAGTCAACAAGCTGCAGCAAGTCAACGTAATCAATTGAATAATCAACGTCTATTAGCCGAACAACGTAAAGTGAGTTCATTACTTAGTTAGTTAGTTGATTTATTTATTATTAGATACCTTCTATTTGTGTCTAAAAGGGAAAAGTTAACATACTATCTTGCATGATTTCATCTAAAAAAGAGTAAGCAAAATTAATGTTATTTTAATGTCACATTAGAATAAAGTACCATTATTAGCAGTGGCAGTAGAAAAGATTATTCATTTATAATATTCTCTGAGAAAGTATGAATTCATTGATTTAAAAATGTAACAATTTCGAAATTGAAAACAAATAATGAATGCATCTAAGCCATTGTGTATTATTGTGCTTAGTAGTGGTTAGAGTGTTGGACCTCTAGCCAATAAGTCTCTGGTTTGAATCCCTTTCCATCCACTTGGAATATGGTTCGTACTCATCTAGTGAATTAGTTAATTGAAAAAGTTTTGTTTTTCAAAACTTGACTGACCGTGATCACTTCGTGGATCTCGCTTAGGTTGTCCGGAGCTGCGTACACAGCTCAATCTAGTAAAAACTGTCTTCATAAACTGAATTTTGTAAACTCATTTATTAGTAAATTCAATGGGATGTTTTGTAAGTGGTGGAACTTGTTGACTTCGTGAAGATAGGTTAACTGTCGAACAGGTTAGTGTAATATATTTGTTGTTAGTAAATCAATAAAAATATGTACCTAATTAGCTTATCTTTAAAAGCATTGGGGACTGCAGTTGAATATTCTGTCTTATTGTGGGTGTTTTCAACTATAACCCTCAATTAAAGACGTTTTTATGATAGTCTTTTTAATGTTTCATCAACTTTTTTTGAATATAGTGTATACTCTTTACTTTTATAACCTTCTTCCTCAATTAGCGCCTTATCCAACATCAGTTATATAATCAAGTTGCTGTGTATTCACTGAATTCATCAGCAACAAATCGCAACCCTATGTCGAACTCGGATTCGAATCCTCAAGTGAATACATTTTTTGTCAATGAAAATATGTATGGTATACAAAATTTACCTTCTTCTCTTAGCATTTCTCCTACTAATAATAATACTATTATTTCTACAACAGCTAGTCATAATAATCATAATCCAACTTATCATTTATTACATGTAATTCCGAATAAATCAATGATTAGGAAATCTTTATCATTAGATACTACTAGTACACAAAATATGAATGCAAATTTATTGAATTTAAATGCTACAACAGTGATTTCATCGAATTCACCTTCATTCAGTTCAACATCTAGAGGTGCCAATTTTTATCATTATTATCAATATCATCGTCCAGAGGATTTATCTCGATTTTTAAAAGAAGTTGGTCCTAATGTACAAGTACAAGTAAGTTAAAATGGCACGCTTTGACTTCCATTCTACCTATAGTCTTAATAAGTAATTTTTTATTACTTTTTTCAGTAGTTGATTAAGTTTCTTAGTTATTTGTTAAATATACTATTCATTTTTCTCATACTCATCAAATGGATAATTATCCCTCATAGATTTTGGCTTCATCTTATCATTCAGTCTAGTTCTAACCCCTGTAATTTTCAAACACTTAATTAATTAATCCTCGTCTTATTTCTTAAATGGCTTATTTATTGAATCACTATAAGTATAATTGTACGACTTAAGTGGTCTTCCGTGGCAGAGGCTGTATACGCTTGGCCGTGTGAGAGTATTTCGAGAGGTAGGGCGGGCCCTCCCTACTCTCGGCCATACCAGGGCATTTGGGGGCAAATTAAAAACATTCTCTGGGTTTCCTTTAATTCTTTTATGTATATATATATTTTTTTTCTAACACCTATATTGAAAGAGTTTTATGGAGATTAGTTTTATTTTTAGGTTGGATTCGTCATTTGATTGATCTCAGTTGAGGCTCAATTGAAAAACTGGTAGCATTGAACAGTTTTACTTTAATGGGGTTATCCTTCAGGGGTGTGCACCGATCACCCTAACCACTAATCGAACCCAAGATCTTCAAATCTTGAAACAAACTTGTAACCATCATAATCGATGATTCGATTTGCAGTGTTACAATTTCAACTTAAATCATTTTGTGCTATTGCGTGTCGATCATCCAATGTTATTAATGGCAATTCTTGCATTCCTATTATCTCTGAACTTTACTAGTCACGACTTTTGATTGGAAAAACAGAGAAATTTTGTAGTCATTAGGATGAAACAATTGTCCAGCACTCTCTGGTTATCACTATCACTCTAATTGAAACAACTCTGTAATAATTGCGACTTGAAAACGAAACATTCTGTATGTATCAATACCATGGCTAAACTTGATAGTTCCAAATAAATTGAGCATTTGGTAGAGAGTTAATAGTAAATATATTTTTGTTATAGCTTAATGAGTAGGAAAATTGTATGTCTGACGTTTCGTGATTTAATGTAGGCCACTTCTTCAGAGTAAATATATAACCAAAATTAATTTAACACAAGTTTAATTAGTACAAAGGAAACTGTTATTTAAACTTGTGTTGAATTAATTTTGGTTATACATTTACTCTGAAGAAGTGGCCTACATTAAATCAAGAAACGTCAAACATACAATTTTCCTATTCATTAAGCTATAACAAAAATATATTTATTATATTCTGTATTTTACTTTTGCATTATACCAGATTTATTATAGAAAATAAAAGCGTTTGTCATCGCTTCGTCAATAGTGAAGTCTAGTTAGTATTTCTGGAATCGCTGAAACTATAGTTTATAGGCGGTCTTTCAGTGGCCCTAAAGTGACCTTGAGAGTATTCACCTAATAAGTAAGACCAAATGATAGTTATAAACCAGTGTGAGGAATTAGATTTAGGGTTTTCATCACGAACTGGCATTAGCTATTTAGTCAAATGGATGAGACCTGTTGTCTTATACTTGACTGCTTCATCCATAAATTATAGTCTCGCCGTGGTTCATCTTGGTCTCCACATCAAATGAGATTTGTGTGGCGCATATGTATTTGGTGCCTCCTTGTACCAATATCTATGAGTTATAATAAATAATAAATAAATCTTGGTCTCCACTTTAGTTTATGTCTGTAAAGTGACTGTTAACATTTGTAGTTATAAATACTTTGTTCGAGTTTCATTGTAGATATCAACACTAGGATAATGCTGCTACTTACAATCAGCGAGTTGAAAATAATAGTAAATTCAACATAGAATCTGACACGTGTATCGGTTATGTTTGTTCTACTAAAGTGATTACCTACTTTATAATAATAATAATAATAATAATAATAATAATAATAATAATAATAATAATAATAATAATAATAATAATAATAATAATAATAATAATAATCTTTTCTGATTAACTTTTCGTTGCATTCTATCAAGCTTTCTTGTTCAATCCCTACAATTGATAATCATCAGTTAAGTAATGCACATAAAACCCCTCATGTTTACCCTACATTGCATCATAGAAGTACAGTGAAAATGCAAAAACCACCTGCTAGGCATCAAATGTTAGCTAAAACAACAACAATTACTCCTACTTCACCATTGTCAACTACAGCAATTTTTCATAATTCCCAGACCGCTGTGCTACAATCAGGTAGTATTGGTTCGTTGCCATCATCATCATCGTCGTCCTCCCATAAAACTTCAACAGCTTTACCAGTTTATTCTTCTCATTCATCTACAGTGAGTAACTTATCATCTATAAACAATCCAAAGAAAATTTCAAGGGAAGAATCAATTCTACTTAACCAAAAACATTTTCCATTTGTGAATAATAATAATAATAATAATAACAATAGGTATGTGCTGATATTTATATATGTATATAAAACTTTATGTTACTTTAAGTGCATAGATATATCTTCAGTTTGTGCGGTTATTTCCCTTGACAAATTTAAATAAATAAAGTATTTATAAATGTTCTTGGCTTTATAATGAATATTGAATATTTCAATATAAGAATGGGTACTTTTTCACTGTATTAATTTCATCAATGACTTTTTTTTAAAAAATATCCATTCACTTTTTGTTTCTCCTTAAATCTTGAGTGTGAAAATTGTCTTGTCTTTTTTCATTTCATACATTAATTTTTCTTGTTGAATCATGTTGTTAATATACTTAAACTATAGTACTTTCCTTGATACAGTTTACTACTTCCACTATTTTGTGGTTAGTCATTTTAATAATTTCATCAGGATATACTGATATGATGTGATAAGTTGAATTGTTGCATCAGATATGCCTAGTTCTAGACTGTGTTTAACTAATTGGAATATCTATTTTTATTAGGTAGATCATGGATAATTTGCATCTCTTAATTAAAATTACCCTTAATCCAAGTGAATTCAATACTGTAAATCAGTCGTTTTTCTAATTTGATTTCATTTGAAATGTTTTATTATTAAAATCGTGTAGTTAGTTCAACAAAATAAAACTTGATTTATTTTTGTGCAAAATATATACAGAATTCTAAAAGTTTAACCATATACATCCACTTCATGTCCCTTTCTTTTTCCTCTTTCCAAATTTGTTTCACTGGATTATACTCTTTAAATAACATCTCCAAACCTTAATCTTCCCGATTACTGCTTATACTCTTATTACCTCTACCACTACGGGATTTGAATCGACAACTGCATCTCTGTGCTAATGTGGTGTGGCAACTGGAACTGATGTACGTACGTACGAAGTTCTACGTTGTTACTGACTGACTGACTTTATACATGTGAATCATTAAATATGAAATAGACAAATAAATAGGTAAATTGTATAGAAAAGAAATGAAAGTACTCTATAACACAATTTGACATCACAACTAGTAATTGAAAACGGACTAATTATTACAAGAGCATATTCATGAGGGTGGAATATAGTGAGTTTTTGAACACAGAAATTAAGTTTGATCTTTTTGATGTCTAACACTACATATGTAGGAATGTACCAATATACAAAGGTTTAGTTGTCGCAAAGGTTGTCATTCATCAATCGTGTTACTAACTGAGTTTGAAGTTGTTTTTTTTTAATGTGGTGGTGGTATACGATCATTGACTATGAGAACTTGATTGTTCGTCATCATATATGTGTACTCTGTACGGATTTTGGCACTCAATTTCCAGACCATACTTATTATATTAAGATAATTGATACCTCATTATCGCTTGAATCAAAGTTGATCAGTTTTAAAATCTTTTATTATAATCACTACTCGTTTTAATTGAGAAAAAAAAGTTTAAATCTTGACTATTGTCAAGCCTAGTTGATTCGGTCTTTGCCATCTTAATTCATAGTTATTCAAGTTGATCTGTATAATGTAGATTCACCATAAAAATCGTTATTAATACTGCTAATTATCAATTCGATTCTATAAAAGTACGGTACATTTTTGCAGTTAACATGATTTATTCAGCAAATAATTTACATGTTGTTCTTTATTGTTTTTCTTCCCCCTCACATTTATGTTACAGTTGTTTAGTTAAAACTGAACTACACCAAGGATTAGTCGCTTGTCAGGGTATCCATCAAAATCGTTCTGTTGTTCCTGTTACTACTACTGATAATGATCATAGTAGTTTTCAATGCTCTCAGGTATCTAACAAATTCTCCGATGATTCTCTGCCAGTTAATACTTATCAAGCTTGTTCTTCAACTGAAGTTGAGCAATCCTCTCCGGTCGCCACCTCTTCCCCCTCCTCATTGTCATATGTTTCAAGTGTACCATCTAGTAGTTTGATGGCACATAATGAGAACGCATATTCTAATATATGTTGTACTGAAAATCCTATGAATTCAGTTCAGTGTCTTGAATGGTCTTTACCTCAACCTGTATATGTACAACAACAGAAAATCAATTCTAACTTGGATAATATGTCTTTGTGTAATAATACTGTTTATCCCCAATCAGCTCATTTAGCTCATAGTTATCGTTCTCAGGTTTTTCCAAATAGTCATAAAACCAACGAGTTAAACAATAATAATAAAATTGATACATTTAATTACTTCACTCGAAATGATTCATCGTATTGTAATAATAATACATTGATGATAAATCATTCAAATGTTGTTTATCCCTTAACACCGTGTAATAGTTTATCACCAATCAGTGTATCAGCGAATACTTCCCCAAGTTCCAGTACTACATCTGGTTACCTTAAGTCACCACCGCCACCACCGCCGCTGTCTGCATGTCAACAATCGATAGAATCAGCGTATTCCACATCATCATCTTCATCGGACACTTTAGTTAATCATTATTATGAAATAAATTCAACGAGTGGATCATTCGATTGTTGTTTCAATACTTATTCAAGTTATCCAACTTTTCACAGAAATCTATCAACAATGTCTAATTCATCAACAATATCTTATAATTTTAATCATACATCTCAGGATACTCCTGTTACTACAATTATTGATCCTCATTTAGAATCGATGTTACAGTCAAATTATAAACATCAGTATCAACAACAAAATGAAGAGAATTTATTACCAGATGATCTAATCAATGATGTATTCGATCGTAAGTGTTAATGTCTGTTTGTGTATGTATTTGTCTTTGAATCTATTTTAAACTGTATTCATTTCGAAGAGTTTTCAATACATATGTAGTTGCTGTTTTTCTTCAAGAAATCCATCATCTGAAGTCAGAAATATGTTAATTTCATGAAATGTTAAAGTGTATCAATCATATCCTATGCGAATATATTTACCATTCGTAGGAAAAAACACTTCCTATAATCTCTGTTGTTATATGTTTAAAACTTTCTGGAAAGTCCACAGAAGTAACCCACCTCAACTGTATGACGATCCATTCATGTTTTATTGTCACTGTTCCACTTTTCATGATGACTACACGAAACACCGCAAGTTATATAGGTCTTCCTACCGTATACCAGCAATCACTCTAAATGAATTACTAATGTTATCACTTACATTATTATTTATTTACTTAAACACATAAAAATTGGTACAAGAAGGCACCAAACAGATATGCGCCACATAAATCATTCGATTAATGTGAGGGCTGGGGTACTGTCTGGGTGTCCATACTGAAGCAGGTAGTTTTGTTGGGGGCCACAACTCGGGCCTTTGATCTAAATCTCTAATCCACAAGACAGTGAAACAACGTTAGGAGATCCAGTCCCATGTTAAACGGTGATCGATAATTTTTTAATACGCCTTTTGTTTCCTCACGATCCTGGAGCCCATATACACCATTGGTTTGCAATCAGGGTTTTCCAATTCCCCTAGGTGGATTTTCTGTACACCACCACCAACCCAGATAAAGCACCGGACATTCGCTTTTCGTCCTCTCGATTTCGTAAACAACACTCCTGCCACTAGAAGACAGTGAGTAGGGCTTCCTTCTTAGTGGTTGTATGCACGTGGCCATGTGAGAGCATTTCGAGAGGGAGAGCTGACTCTCTCCCCACTCTCGGTCGTACCAGGACATTTGGGGGCATTAAATTAAACAAATCCTTAGATGATGATGATGGTGGTGGTAATGTCAGGTTTACAGTCATTTTATGAGAATTGTTTCATTTTAGTCTATTATTTTTGCGCTGTTCTTGTAGTTTATTTACTTTCCATATTGTCATTTGTTTTTTTTCTTACTAGTTGAGATTATGATTGCAGCTAAGCAACAACGAGAATATCATCATAATTCAACAACAAATGAATTGCAGTGTTTAACTGTGGATGCATCACCAGTCCCTATCAAACAACAACCTCAATTGACTTTATTGAATAATAGTAATGTTATACTATCCACATCATTATCGCCAAGGTTGTCGTCCCCTTCAATATTGAATGCTACAAACCAATGTTTGACTACTACTACTTCTACTTCTGGTGCTGCAGTTATTGTCATTGTTACAAGATAGTGTCATCAGTATGTTGTTTGGTGTTTTTTATTTGAGAAAGAAATAAACACCAACAACGATAGTTATAAGAACAATTGTGCATGCACACACATATTTTTATTTATTTTCTTTTATCGAATTGAATATTAGAACCTCTACATTTGAAAATATAAACATTATACATAATTGTCATATTAATTAATTATTTTTTTATTTGTATACACCCTCACTCCCTCCTAAATCATATTCCCTCTCATTTATATTATATTCAATAGCTGTAAGAGAACTAATCATTTTTATATTACTTCTAATTATTATTTTTCATACTCAACATTCTTCTTCTTTGTATTAAAAGTCGTTATGGAATAGTGTGGGAAAGCAATATATCAAGTTACGCATCGTGTACACTTTATTTTATTCTTTGTTTTTTGACATCTATCTTTATTGTACTTGTCCACATCAACAACCATGCTTGTTCATCTAGCAGGCTTCTGTTTGTTACTTCTCCTTTGGTGTTTTTCTGTTTCCCAATAAGATATTACAGAATCGTTCTGGTGAGGTTTTTCTATTAATTGCGTAATATCGGTTGTATTCAGGTGCATTGATTGTCTTGACAATTAAAATATAATATTTGGATAGAGACGATTCGTAATATGAATACTACTGCTACTACTATTACTAAAGAGAATGATCAATGTAATTATATTTTCACACTTACGTACATTAAATGTGTATACATATTTTGTGTTCCTGTATTTTAAATGGCATCGGTTGCGTGTGTGTCTGTGTGTATATCAGCTAATACTTTGTCAATTGCTTCTTTGTCAGTGAAATCAAGTTGCCTTAGTTATTATCTTTTCAACTTTTTCTATTCTGCAATGTACACACATTTATTAAGTAGTATACAAATTGTACACCCACTTTCTCACACATACACACAAATATTCAGGACATATTTTATTATTATTACTCAGTATATTTACTATTGCTGTTATACATAAACAAGTGTTTTGATAACAAGATTTTTTTGTGTGTTTATAGTACATTACAAAACTGCATAGATTGTTTGCTTCTATTGTCCAGGTGATAGCGATATTTTGCTCCCTTTCCAGCTGCTTCGCTAGTTGGTTGATCTCATTCATTGTTCTAGTAAATAAATAAATAAACACACCACATATAACCAGGTCTTATTTATCTTCTCTCTTTTTTCAAAAAATTTTTTTTTCTTTATCCCGTCATCTATAGTGTTACGACCCAGTTTGGGCACCAAATTTGTGTAAACATCTTGTGTTTGTGTCTTTATTCTGAATTTTATAAACTCAATCTTGTAATTACAATATATTTGGTCTAATACACAAAAATACCACTGTTCAAGGCTAAAACTCACACTCTTCTCTTTCATTAATTCAATAGTTTTGTGTTTTTTTGTTTCAGTTAGGAATATTCAAATGCTTTGTTGTCTTAATTCATTCATTTTCTTTTCTTTTTTCTCTCCACTGGTTGTTTCTATCTACTAATCTCGTCTTTGTTTCTGTCTCTTACAATAAATCCTATGTATTTTTTATGTGTCTGTTTATCTTTCGTTGTTTACTCTTCTTTGTCACTTTGTTGATTTCTGCCAAAAATTCTTTGACTGGCGTTTTTTTTTTAAATCCTTAATTTTTTTTTGATATATCTATATCAGAATAGTTTACACTGTTCTTTCTGTTTATCATTTGAAGTGGTGTAATACAGAAACGTGTATGAAATTTATTTTACTCTTATTCGTTGTCATCTTTCGTCTGTTTCTCTATTTATCCGTTATTTGCCTGATTACATACATGTCTGTCTATCTGATCGACCAATAGATGATTAAAATGATCGATTTGATTGTTGTTTGTTTTTCTTTTTCTTTTCCTTCTTCTACTAAAAACAATAATTTTCTTTAGACATTTCTCTCTCTTTCATTACAATTTTAATTCTTATCGATTATATAAGCGATTCACTTCAGTGAACGTGGTATGTTAAAACAGAGAATGGTTCCCATTTCATCATTATTCTTTTAATATTCAAAACTGAAATAGAAAAATAATACCCCATCAATGATGACTGAATTGTATTTCGCGCTTACATTATTTTGATTACTGTGTTCTATGCATATATATAAATTTTGTTGTTGGTCATCATCTATTGATCGAGATATCTTTGTATCGATTAAAATTTCTTATTTTGTGTAATCAGTAAACAGTTTCTCTGTTTTTGATCATATTTGTATCAGCGTCGTTGTTGTTTTACGATACATATATCCAACGTTAAAATAATGTAAATACCGAAAATTTCTTTTATCGCACACACACACACACACAGAGAGAGAGTTAGAGACGTGGTGGTAAATATTTAAAAATGCGTATTAATCAAATTTGACGTTTGTTTTCTGATTCAACTATATATATATATATATATAATTAGATGAAAGTAAAGTTTCTTTTTTATCTGGTTTTTCATTCCAGAATTTTTGAGTTTCTTCTTGTTTCTAGGGGTATATATGTGGTGTGTTTAAATACATATGAGTTTATCATTTTGGTGTTTATCTTGTTGCACTTTATCACTATTATTATTATTATTATTATCACCTGCCTACCCTTTCGTGTATTTCTTCTTTTTTTTTCTCTCACTTGTACACAGCTTATCATATTGTTGGTCATTTTTCTAATTAATTCACCTATGATTATGATTATTATTTTAAAATTGCAAACTTGATAATCAGTCTATTTCACCTCTGTTTTGTTTTTGCTTTTTTTTTTAATAAAAAATCTTTTGTATATTTACAACAATAGATCTATTTGTTACTTTTGTTCCTCTTCTTTATTTATTTATTTATTTATCTATAAATGTATTTGTAATCCTTTTTATATATATGCAATTGTCAGGGTGTTAGCCTATTTTGCCATTGTTTTCTTCTCATTCAGCATATATATATATATATATATATACGCTGAATATTTTTAATCCTCTATTTTTTTGCGCCTTTTCACTATCTCTTCCGCCCTGGTTACCGTTTAAAGAGAAAAAAAGGGACATTAATTGTCTACACGAAGAGCATTTCACAAGCAACAGTAATAGTAATAATAGTAGTAGTAGTTATAATAATAATAATAATAACAGCCTTGAAAATGTATCATCTTTAGAAAATGCGCCTTCATCATCATCTTTTATTTTGTTAACTTTATAGAAAAACTTATATTCATCTATTTAAAGTACATGTTTTACAGTAGAGCGCCATCTCTCTCTCTCTCTCTCTCTCCTGTTTAAAATTTTCTCTTCATTGTTTTCTTTTTCATTATAATTCTCATGTCTTGATCATATATGTTTAACACACAATTGGATTGGTCTATATATATATATATAATTGAAAGTACACAAAAACGGTATATTATGCATTCACTACTTATTTTTCTTTATAATTTGTACATTATCTCTTATCAGGCTAATTTGTGATTGTTAGTATTTCATATATATATATATATATATATATATATATATATATATATATATATATGCATTGCAAATATTAATTAAAGCAGGGATGGACAATGAAAATATAAACTTGTTGTAATTTGTTTTGTTTCTCTTTTTTTTTTATTAAAAAAGAAGTCTGTTACTCATAGTATGTGTTTTTCTATAAAGGTGTTCTGTTCTGTTCTGTTCTGTTCTGTTTGTTTTCCCTAATTGTTGTTCGTTATGTGTGCTTGAATGATCTTCTCTCTCTTCCCTTTCTAGTTTTAATTTTTGTACTCACTCACTCACTCAAACAGACACACACAGACCCACATTACTATTATCAATACAAGTTGGAAATCAATCAGTCTATCAATAAACTATACATACATCTATCTCTGTCTAGATCTCTTCAGGCTTTTTTATTATTATTATTATTATTTATTTATTTATTTATATACTATTATTATTATTGTTATTATTATTTTATTGTTTTAAAACAATACTCAGTGAATTGAATATTTTCGACACCCATTCTCTCTTCATTTTGTTTTATTATTATTATTATTATGTAGAAATAATGCATATATATATATATATATATACATAAACACTATTTCCTCGGAAAGAGAATAACACTATTTGAGTCATTATGTTTCATTTTCCCTATTTCCCCCCCCCTCCCTAATACAATAGAGTACATAATCTCAAAATAATGCAGTGAGTCAAATAACAATTAGTTATATATAATGTAGTATTTGGCCTATATATGTGTTAACCGGTTCCAGTTGCCAAATAATAGCGATATCCTAAAGTTGTAAATGTAGTATTAGTATGAATAATAGTAGTAAAAAGATAGTCATAAAAGTGATATTACAAAATTATGAAATTTTCAATCTTAAAGAAATACAAAAATTCTGATGGATACTATACTATATCAATTAAGTTCTCGAACCATTGCTTACGATGATCTTGTGAATCACAATAGTGTAGTTTACACTCATCTACATGACTTAGTTCAACATTCAATGACTTCATGGACTGATATCGCTTCTTGATTTGAATACCCCTAACTGTCGGAGACTATTCCCGTCGAAGTAGGTGGTTGTGGAACATACATATATGATCTCACTATCTTGGTTTCATCAACTGACTTCCCATTGTTAACTAGTAGCCTTTGTTAAGCCGTTATTGCTCGATTAGTGTTTATAACATACTTGAGCAATGTTTTAAAGGCAGCTATGAGCCTACGAATATCTCCTACATTTGTTAGTCATGAAGGAGTTCGTTTTAATGAGTGTGTCTTGATAGAATTAGTTGAAGGAGAAAATTCTGAAGATGTTTTTAATTTATATAATAGTTCTTCATGGGCTTTGACTCGACTATCAGTGTACACTTGTGTACAATTATAGAACTACTCTTCCTCACATCCTTGTATGCTGTGAATCTAAAGTATATATTGATTATTATGAAATAGATTTACACGAATCTTTAACTTCTTGACGATATCAATTTCTAAAGCAGTATAATCCTATTATTTTAATGGATAATTACTAAATATGTATATAAATATCATTTTCAATGGTAAAATAGAAAAGTTGGCGAGACTCTAATTTATGGACGACCTTCTAACGAATCCCAAGTGATCTTCAGAGATATTAGCCAATCAGTAAACAGTCACTGTAGAGTAAAAATATATTATACAAAACCAAAGAAATAAAGTGGATACGTGGTTCAAAAACTTGTCAGGCTTAGATAGAGGTTCCGAGGTTGTAAAATCGTAAAGCATACAGTAGAGGAAATCATCCATACGACTACAGAATAGTCGGCTTCTGGAGCCATGATAAAGTCTCAAAAACTCTTTCAGTCTGGACCACATGGTTTCACTATTGTTTATATGTACTTCGGCTGTTGAATACACAAAATGCTACTTGTGGATAATGAGACGATGCGCATAACCAAGCCTATGTAGGAGTTTGTACGCTCTCCAAACATCCAAATATATTGTAGTACCTGACTGCATCCAATTTTACTGGTGCTTTTATTATCCAGTTCGCGAAAGTTGTCATAATTTGCCTTAATTAGGAATTATATGTGGTTTTCATCACGAACTCACATCAGCTATAGCGCCAGAAATTTATTAAACCAAGTGCATAAAAGGCTTCCGCGTTAAAATCTGAGATCTATTATCTTATACCTGACTTATTCGTTCACAAATTATACTCTCGCCGTTTTACTTTTTATAGTCGCTCAATTATCACGTTTTGCACAAAATTCGTTGTGAACCCATCATACGTTAGCATTAAGCACTGAAGTTGGCACCGTAACCTTAAAATCTATAAGACGCTTCTGATTGACTCGTCCGTGGATTAGTCTCGCCGAGAAGTTTTATAAAATGGTTAAAAAAGGTCAAACTTATTCAAATGAATTGATATCCTTAGCGCAAACGTCTACCTGAAGTCGTTCAGATGAACTATGAAAGCTCCACGAGTAAACCATCCAGCTCAGAGAACAAAACTCCATCAAAATCATCCACCTGAGCTACAAATCTCCATCATCTCAAGAATTGATATCGTATAATTATCTATAAACATGAGAAAATGTTATTATCAGAAGGGGTTTTGTGGAGATTTTAGAAATTTCAATAGTTGAAATCATGAGTCAACTGAAGCTAGATCAACCTGGAAGCACTGGACGGCCATTTCGTCCTATTATGGGACTCCTGGGTTCGAATCTCGCGGGGGGTGGGATCGTGAATGCGCACTGCTGAGGAGTCCTATACTGGGATGAAACTCCCGTCCAGTGCTTCCAGGTTTTCCATGTTGGTCTAGCTTCAATTGACTCATGATTTCAACTATTGAAGATGTTATTGTCAAGAAGAAAGTTTTCTTTATTGAAATGTTTTCATTGTTCCTAATGAATTAACGTGATATTCTCATAATCGATGAACTATGAAATGTAGTTAACCATATTAAATAGTAAGATTCGACTATATTATCTTCTTTTCCAACTATTTCCCTTTAAGTTAAAGTATTTGCACAGTTCTTACATTGTTTTGTTTCACTTTTAGATGTGATTGTATAACACTTTTTATCTTAACTTCCAGTTTTCAACAAACATATTATTCACATTATCAGTTAGTAATAATCTACCTTATATATATTGAATTAAAAACACTGTTTTTGATAAGT